TCTATTTGTTGCTACTTTAACATCATGCAGTTTTCTGTATACTGTAAAGTTGCTTACACAAGCTAGTGCACAAGAATTTGAATTAATTCTACAAGAAAGTCAAGAGACACAGAGTAAAGCAATAAGGTTACAGAAATTAGTAAAAGCCTACCAATTACAACGTATCACAAAATTGTTAGTATCCTTAAAAGCCTGTTTGAAATCTTTACAATATTTTACTATTTAATAAATTTTAGAATCTGGGACGGAGTTGCCGATATTTTTAAAGGCATGTAATTAAACGAACTTTATTTTTTCGATTTTTAACTTGTCAATTCATTAAATGCACTTATAATTAATGTTTGCACTTAGAAATACAGAACTGAACTTAAAAATAAATATTTGCACTTTGAAAAATGAATTCCACTTGAATAAAATGCTTTCCACTATGAAATTAATACTTTGCACTTATAAAACTTGCAGTATTAAGTACGTGCCGTACTCTTAGCCGGCCCCTTCTATCACACCCCCACCGCCCCTCAAATAATACCAAACAAGGTTGCCTACCTAACCACCACCCCCAACCCCCAACCACCCCCTCCCCCCAACCCCCAACCTCCCCACAAATAATACCAAACAAGGGAGCCTACCTAACCACCACCCCCGACCACCCCAACCGCCCTACAAATAATACCAAACAAGGTAGCCTACCTAACCACCACCCCCAACCCTCCGACCACCCCTACCCCCCGACCGCCCCACAAATAATACCAAACAAGGTACCCTACCTAACCACCACAAATTATAAAGTTTCAATTTAAAAAGTTGATGCATTGTATTAAAATATAAGTTATACAATCTATAGTGCATAATATGAATTTCTTAGTGCAAAGTATGAAAACTTAAGTGCGGCTGTTCAAGTGGATTGTATTTTAACTAAAGTGCATTTAATATATCCCCATTTTTAAATGGCCTTTAATGATGCAATATTTAATCAGTGGTGTTACGGTTGGATTAATTGTCATCTCGGAATTAATTGTAAGTTTTAAATATTTAATCAAAAACAAATGTAATAATATCCTATGTATTTTTAGCAATTGAATATACCCTTGATTCCGCTTTCTGTTACGCATATTATTGGGACATGTTTATGTGGATTTGTTGTTAAAGAAATGGAACAATACGTATACCGAATATTAAGTTTTAAACTGTGTAGTGCATTGCTAATAAATAGTTCTTTCAGAGTGAAGAATTCCGACATGCAACCTTTTATGGAATAGCATGGGATGGGGATATTGAAAGTGCTAGGTTTTTAATGTTTATGAACATCAACTTGCATAACATATTTAAACTTCCTCTTGGCAATTATGCATTTTATTCAAATGAACAAGTAGTTTTGGTAAGAATGCGTGATTCTAAACTACGAGTATTATACGCTTACATATAAAGAACATCAATATTTACAGGTTATCAAAGTGACATATTCAGTTGTAATGTACTATATTAACTTAACTCACTATAAAATCACGGATATCAATTAATAATTTAAGAAAGGTGAAAACTTGCATCTTGACGGTGATGGCACCATGAAATACACTATACACCGAAAAGAAAATTGCACATTATATCACAGTTTATAATGTCAACTTGCATTTTATGATCATCATAGCGACGACACTCGTACAAATTCTTTTCTAATGCTTCACAATTGGAATTTAGCAGATCGATGCAGTACGGTTTATCCCTACCTGCTTTGAAATGCAAGGATATATGTTCGTTGCTCACCAAATCACCAAATTTTATGGTTAATGCATTTTTCGGTTCTGCCTTTATATTTGTAATTAATAAGTCTTTGCGATATCAGTTAATTGTGATGTTATGCTTTTAAATAAAAGCTTGTTAAACAAACAAACTCCAGGTTAATCAAATGACCTTGTTTCATTGATTACGAAACATAATACTTTATAATATAATACTTTAATAGTCTCTACTACCCCTAGACCAGGGGTTCCTAACCTGGGGGTAATTACCCCCGCAGGGGTAAAACGGAGATTCTAGGGGGGTAACACGGGATGGCACAAAATAGTATTAAAATAGCAATAAACAAAATAATAGTACGGTAAATGGTAGCACAATGGTAGTATATATTATATAAATTTATATATTACTTTACTAGTTACGTAAACGTGCAATTTCTTACATAATAAGCATATTTTCGATCGAATTTATGTGTTTTTAACTATTTTAAATTAGCTAGGGGTAAACTCAATTCCTATACTTGTTCACAGGGGTAGTGACCTTGAAAAGGTTAGGAACCACTGCCCTAGACAATATGAAATGTCTAAATGTGTTGTTAAACTTTTATCTTCAATAGTTTCTCTTTGCGTCAATAGGATTGCGAACGATTTCTTATCATTAATTTCCAAGTATATATACGTTTGCAAGACGGGATAATTACGTTTGCAAGACGGATTTTGTATTAAAATTATAACTTTATTTTTATAAGTACAAAATTCACGATTATAATTAAATGGTTGACATTGCTTAAGTAAACACTCAATGGCAAGTGTCGCTCTAGCGCATCGCGCAACATTAATTAGTGCTTTTTCTTAGCGTCAGCAGGTTTCTTATCTTTCTAGGTTGCGAGTAACGTAACTATATATTAATATTTCTTGTCAATAAATTAATAAATCAATTGATCACTGCAAGCATTGAGGTCATCGTCAGAAGTGGAAAGCGTAATTGTATCCGTTTTCTTCTCGTTCTGGTTGTTAGGGAAACTATCTTGTTTGGAAATCTTTGTTTTGTATGACCTATTTTGATTGTAACCCAGGCACAATCAGAATGTCAGATTTATTGGAAGATTATAATAACGCGCACGGCGGCGATAATACGGTATCGGTGATAAGTATATTTGCTAAGATTTATACAATTTTAAAAATTATACCCAATTTAAAATAAAAACTAAATACAATCCTGTTCACTGACACTACATAATGAAGCCCATTCCGTGCAGTACTACCACAGCGGCAACATACTGTATATTTAATTTTAAAAAAATCGTATTTTGCCATTAAAATACACTAACAGCTTTATAAATTTTAAAATGTTTGCATCAGTAGTTGCTTTTTCTTTTATTCTGATCGCCTGCAAGTACGCAGTACTTGCTGTATATTTAGTTTTATTTAACACTAGCATTAACCCGCGGCTTTGCTCGCGAATATTTAAAATAATGAAGTTGCTTCCGTACGCGTCTGTAGTCACAGAAGAAGTAACAATGAAGTAGATTGGCGGGAAGTTTAAAATGGCTGAAAGTATAGTCTATGGAAGTATAGTCTATTGTCTCCATAGTGTAGTCAATTGGAGTGTATTGGATAATACTGTGTGATGGTACTATAGTACTTAGGTTTGAGCTTCATTGCTGGAATGCTAGATGGCGTTAAAGTAGTCAAATAGCCAGATGCAGAGGTATTATTGGCTGAACAATTTCTTTATTTTATTTTAAAAATATTTTTTTTATTAAATAAAAAGTAGATTATAACCATTCGGGGACCACTAAGAATATGTGTACAAATTTTCATGATGATCGGTTAAGTAGTTTTTGCGTGAAAGTGTAACAAACATCAGGACTTTCGCATTTATAATATTAGTAGGGACTAGCGGATGCGACAGACGTGGTCTTTAATTCGCAAATTTCAAACTGGAAAACTGGTGACTGGAACATTTTGCAAATTGAAAAATATTGTTTAAGCTTCAGGAGCGCAATTTACGGATATTGCCTTAAATTTATCATGGCTCATTTCAACATTACTTGTTTTATAATAACGTTATGGATAAAAGTATCTTCAAAGGCTGCAAATACTTGCTGGCACCGGATGGAAACGCAACAATTTGTGCATATTAGGTGCTTTAGGGTATATCATTGAATTCCTAGCGAAGGAAATGGAAAATTGTGAAGAAAATTCATTGAAACATGGTTGTGGAATTTTAAACCCCAGTGTAAAACATATATTTTTTTAATAAAGAAGTTTTTAATTAAAATATGCTGGTAGGATCTTTTCATTGATTTAAGTCAACGACCCTACCGAGAACTCTTTAATCCCTTGGTTTGGATTACATATTGGTATCTATTTCTTGCTATTTTCACGTCATTCAGTTTTTTGCATACTATAATGTTGCTTACGCAAGCTAGTGCACAAGAATTTGAATTAATTCTACGTCAAAGTCCAAAAGTACCGAATAACGCAATAAGGCTACAGAAACTAGTAAAGACATACAAATTACAACATATTACAAAACTGTGAGTTTTCTTTTTCAAAAGTTTTTTTTTACTATTTAATAAATTTCAGCGTTTGGGATGAAGCTGCCGCTACGTTTAAATGGCCTTTAATGTAATCAGTGGAGTTGCGGTTGGATTGATTGTTAATTCGGAATTTATTATAAGTTTCAAATATTTGCTCAAAAATCAATTTAATACAATACCATGTATTTTTTAGCAATTTAATATACCTTTGATTCCTCTTTTGCTTTGCCATATTATTCCAACATGTACATGTGGTTTCCTTGTAAAAGAAATGGAAAAACAAAGGTGCTATTGGTAAGAATATGTAATTCTAAACTATTATACACTTATTAACAAGGTGCATCATTATTCACAGGTTTTTCAAATAACGTATTCAGTCGTAATGTTCTACATAAACCTAACTAGCTATAAAATCAATTCATAATCAGTTTAAATAATAGGTGCAGATACGCTCCTGCACACTAGTTGCATGTTTCCGTCTAAAACGTATTTATTGTGTGTATATTGGCTTCATTGTGTATGATAGTCATTATTGGTAGACATTATCGACATAATTTTACAAATAGTATCCACATGAGGTTTTAATGGATTTTTATCATAGCATTAACTGCAATATATATCTACTAATGGAAGTATTAAATGCAATCAACAAAATAACATTTCTAAAATGTACCAATTATTTCATTTTTACACGGTTGATATTAGAAAACTCTAAATCTAAATCTCTATGTATCTGATTCAAAGAACATCAAAACAAATCATTTAGTTTCACTACATGTGCGTTTAACCTTCAAATAATACTTCAAATAAGTATATCGTATTCCTCGATATTGCTTCTGATTCATGTGGTTACAAATTATTATTTCAAACTGACCCTCAAATATGGATACATGTTTTATTCAAACCAAAGGTTCTTTAAATCGTAAAACAGCAGAAAAAGAATTCTCTGCAATATCATTTGAATCATACAAACCAAAACCTAAGCCAGTATTAGAAGAAAGCCATAAAGATGAAACAGAAAGCCAACTGAAATCACAGCATCATCACAAAGATGCACCTGAACTTAATATTAAACGGACCAAACAAGAGATTATTAGGTTTGGTATGACAGGATTCGATGCTGCAACTCAGGAAGATGCTAAAATTAAGTTGGCAATAAAGCTTGGTAAGTCAGATTAACTGTATGCCTTGATTGAAATTCTCTAAGTTTTTTCTGTTGTATCAAACAGGTGCTAAACCTAAAAAGAATAAACACCAGAACTACAAGTTACTTATTGAGCAGCGAAAGAAGGAAAAATTGGCAAAGGAGGAAGAGCTCAAATTCCAACAGCTTGGAAAGAATAATGCTGGCAGAGCTACAGCCAAGGGCAAATCATTTGATAAGAAAAGGAAATTAAAGAGTGATATTTTAGATATATATGGCACTGTGAAGCCAAAAGATCTTAAAAGTGTACAAAAACATAAAAACTTTAGTAAAATGAAAAGGAAATAGTTTTCATTAATATTTGTGGGTAATTGTGTAAAGTAAGCTGTAATTTGTGTTGCCTATCAATAAATGCAAATAACAATTTTGTAACATTTTCTTTTTAATGCGGTAATCTAGTTAAACAAAAGAGAAACGTGTTGTAAATATAATAGAATAATGGTTCAATCAACATTTCGAAGATAAAAAGCCTACTTCGTCATTTTATTGAAAAGCAACCAATTTAACATTTGACAGTTGCTGATGCTAGGACGCCATTGCGCAGATATGGTGGTTGTCGCCTAGTACTTCCCGAAATCTCTTTCAAACAAACTACCGAAAAATACAGAACACTATTGGTTTTGTTAATCGTCGTGATTCCGCGGTAACTGTACTAACTACTGGCAACACAACACTAAAAAGGTACGTTTGTTAGCAAGAGTGCCGTTGCTCTGCGGCATAAGCACGCGACGCACATGGTTATGTTTACGACGCTAAAAACTTATACGCGCATTTCTTCCAGCATTGATTGCCTGGGAAGGCGATTATGATGCCTCTAAGTGGCGCTCATACAATACATAATTCCAGTCAAATGGCCAACAGTCAAACATCATCCACCAACAGCTTGACTCCCACTGGGGGTTCAAATAAATCAAGTAGCTTAGTAAGTGTTCATGTTTTTAAAACGAGAATCCAAATGCAATGAGAACTTACTATAAATTGTTTGTTTTTATTCTAGAAGCCTAATTACACATTGAAGTTTACTTTGGCTGGTCATACAAAAGCAGTATCTTCAGTAAAGTTTAGTCCTAATGGTGAATGGCTAGCAAGTTCATGTAAGTTATTTTGGTTAAGTTTCTATTCTTATTTTCATATTACTTTCTATACAGCTGCTGATAAACTGATCAAAATCTGGGGCGCCTATGATGGCAAGTTTGAGAAGACAATCTCAGGACATAAACTTGGAATTAGTGATGTTGCATGGTCTAGTGATAGCAGGTTATTAGGTTAGTATTCTTTTCTATTTGCTGCACTGTATTAATTGTTCATTTGTTTGTTATGTTTGCCATTGCAGTATCTGCTAGTGATGACAAAACATTAAAAATATGGGAGTTAAGTTCAGCTAAATGTTTGAAAACATTAAAAGGCCACAGCAACTATGTATTCTGTTGTAACTTCAATCCACAATCAAACCTGATTGTGTCTGGATCCTTTGACGAGTCTGTGCGTATTTGGGATGTGCGAACTGGAAAATGTCTAAAAACGCTACCGGCTCATTCAGATCCAGTGAGCGCGGTACATTTCAATAGGGATGGGTCACTTATTGTCAGCAGTAGTTATGATGGATTATGGTAAGCACTAAGTTTATAGAATTGTTACATATTTATTAATCTTGAATTTTAGCCGAATCTGGGACACTGCATCTGGCCAATGTCTGAAAACTCTCATCGACGATGACAATCCACCAGTATCATTCGTGAAGTTCTCACCAAATGGTAAATATATACTCGCTGCGACGCTAGACAACACGCTGAAGTTGTGGGATTATTCCAAGGGTAAGTGCTTGAAGACGTACTCAGGCCACAGGAACGAAAAGTATTGCATTTTTGCGAACTTTTCCGTCACCGGCGGCAAATGGATCGTGAGCGGCTCCGAAGACAACATGGTTTATATTTGGAACTTGCAAACGAAAGAAATCGTTCAGAAATTACAAGGACACACAGGTATGTTGAATTATTGGAAATTATTGACGAATAATTGTACTTATTTACTTATTTGATACTAGATGTGGTTTTATGTACGACGTGCCACCCGACCGAGAACATTATTGCGTCCGCAGCCCTCGAGAATGACAAAACTATAAAACTCTGGAAGAGTGAGACGTAAACCAACTGCACTAATACAATTTATTCATTACATATATTTTACAAGAAAACAAGCGATACACTGTTGGTTTGTTTTTTCATTTAAGCCTCCGACATTTATCGGCAAATTTGACATTTGTGTGATTGCAGTAGGGAATGTGTCATTTCAAAAATACATGATTTTGTAATACTATCTGCGGATTATTTCTGCCTTTTACTCTTTTATTTATTTATTGTGCTTGTGAAATGACTGATCCTACCAAGAGAAAGATGAAGATGCCCGCGTGGCACTTGCCTTACCTAGAAAAACACAATATTTACAAGTTATTTTATGAGTTAGCTCGAGAATTAGTGATCCAGCAGCCGGACGATCATGTCTTTTTCATGAAATATCTACTCACGAGCGCGGTGAAGAATATACACATTCCGCACGTGATTGTTTTGGGTTCGCCACGGATTAATCTCGTTGAGGTAGCCACACAGATCAGTTATCATACGAAATTGTTTTTAATCACTCGCGAGATGATTGACAGTGTGTTGAAACTGGATGATCGGTCAACAGCAAAGCCTTCAGATATTATTTTAGGCATACAGAGTATAATGAATTTGAACTCTGGTGCTATCGCGCAGCATGGATGGATATTAGTCGGTAATGTATTGTAACTTTAGTTGCATATATTAAATTATTAAATGAAGGCAATGTGTTTAAATACATTCGTTGATTTTAGATTGTATCACGACAAAACAAGAAGCTCAAAAGCTTCTGGACGTTGGAATTTTACCCACGCACGTCCTTTATTTAATTTCCCCGTACAGCCCTAAGCTTACTGACCTTTTATACTGCGATGTCACCACAAATTGGCCCACGTTTCGTCGAAACATGTTTGACATAGTCGAGGTGTACAAACAAAAACTGATTGAGATCTATCTGGACGATTCTGATTTGGAGACGTTGGTCACAAAGTGTGTTGAGTTAATTTGCATTGAACATATTGAGAAAGGTCCAAAACAGCCGCGAATTGTCTTGATTGGCCCACGTGGTTGTGGAAGGAAGACTCAAGCAAAGTTACTCGCTGAAAAACTCAAAATAATCTATAGTAATATATTAATCTCTTATTTCAAATATTTTAAATCTTGTTTAGGATAATTACATAGCTGATTACTGTATGTCCCCAGTCGATTTCGAGTATTTGCTGTGTCAGGAGTGGGTGTCCGAATCTGAGCTGGGTAAACAACTGCGTTCCTGCGGTGACCGAGCGTGCTTCAACTCTGCTCTTTTGACACGCGTCCTAAACAAACGACTTCTATCCATCGAATGCCTTCAGATGGGCTGGGTACTCACCGGTTTTCCTTTTACTGAAAAAGACCTGAAGCACCTGGACTGTGTGGAGACGCCGCCCAATCGCGTCGTGTTCCTCGAGTGTGACCTGAACGTGTGCCTGGAGCGACTTCTAAAGCGACAGATCAACGTGTTCACCGGGAGTGTCACTCGGCTGGACGAGGCCGATCCGGATGTACTCACATCAAAGCGCCTGCAGTATCACCCGAAGGACAAAGCTGATCTGATTAATGCGGAGGTAAGAGAAATCCGATCGTAAAAGCGTGATTGATTGAATTATACGCCGTCCGATGGTAGTTTGCGAGGACACTAATTGATGAATTTGATTTTGTAAACTTCTAGTTGCAATTCTACTGTACACAATACGGTGCGTTGCGTAAGTATTGTGGGGGGACGGCGGCTGTCGTCAACGCTGATCAACCCGAGCGTTGGGTGTATGAGAATATCCTTGCTGCGGTCATGCGGGACCTACCTATCGTTACGCCCCGCGACCCATTTGCCCCTGGGCCGGCGACCAAAGCCGAGATTACAGCGGCGATGCCCTACAAAGTTTTCACTCACGACTAATCAAATGTTTCAATACTTACACGATGCAATATTAATTTTGATGGTGTTGACTTTGTGTAAGTAGAACAGCTTTCCATCGTACAAAATTTGTAATAATTAGCGTGAAACTTACTTCACAAACGTATAGTGTGCAAGCACCAAACAATAACCAAGTTTCAAAGCTGCACATTATTCAAACACAATATAGGAATCTAACAAGTATCATATATTATGTGCTTTTTCTTCTCTTTTTTTACAAACAATGCACTATACACGAGTTTATGATATTTACAAGAAATACATTTATTGCCAGTTGTCGACCTTCTTGTTGAGCAGCCTCATCTCGACTTCACACATGCAATCTGCATTTTTGTTTACTTGTTTATTGTGTTTTTGTGTCATAAAATTAAATTCTCCCTTAATGCCAGCGCTTTATGTACAATTATAATATACATACTCTCAAATTTAAAAACTTTTAAACATTTTATATTCTTCACCATCAATTTTATTATCATTAACAACTATAGATATTACTTTAGCTTTTTTTCTTTCAATGTTTGTATACATATATTTATAATCATTTATTTAATTTATTCTTTACGTTTGGGATAACTTTTATTTATGTGTGTAGGCAAATTTAGAAATTCCTCTACGGGGGGTATTTTCATCTCAATTCTCATTAAATACTTCGAGTTTATTTTCAGCATCCGTTTGAACTGCCAGCGCTAAGTTTAATACAGCGTACTTTTTCCCTAGATGCTTTTTTATTATCTAGATTGAAGTCACTTCACCTTCACTGGGTTTTGGATGCTGTGCTTATCTCCCTCTGGGGACGAGTGCAGGTGTTTTATGCAAATTAATTTTGTCACCTGTTTTGCTTAATGGAACGTAATTTTTCGAATGTGTGCGAAAGCGGGACGCCATTCAGCAATTAAAATAAATTAATTAATATGTAATACTTTTTGGCACAGTAATTTTTTGGCATTTTGACGGCAAACTCGCGACATGTACTATCGAACATATTTTACTGGCGTTGCCTGGCTTTGGCATTAGCACGAGAATACTGTGTTAATTGTCTATGCACTAATCGTCCACAATAAGATATATCATGATATGATACAGGATAGGTGATGGTTGTAGGTTGTCTAGGACGATCGCGGCTTGGCAGATGAATTGGCGGTGGCGCCGGGCGCAAATCACGTCAGATCGTACTGTGTGATGTCGTTCTGGACGATCGGTATGTGAATGCTGCTTTGGTAAGAGCGACCATTTGGATTGGGGGCAAATGCGGTTGCTTGCATCGCCTGCATACCCTGCTGATGTTGTATCAGTTGCTGCTCACGCGATTGCTTGTACTGCTGGTATTCACGCGCCTGCTGATACTGTAGCTGCTGTTGGTAGATCTGTTGCTGAATGAGATCGCCATTGCTGAGACGTACGCCCTTGTACATCCGGGGGCTAAACGTCGCGCTGGCCCCTGCCTCCGCGGGCGGATGTGCGGCGCCGGCAACGACCTGGTAAGACGGAATGTGTTTAGGGGAAGCGGACGACTTCACCGGACTTGATCCGAGCAACGCCGCTTGCTGGCTATACTGTCGACCATATAGTGAGCTAAGCGCCTGATATTGCATCGCTGATGAGTAGGCGGCGGCGGTATGCTGTTGTGCTACCTGCTGCGGGTGATGCATTGCAGTTGGCGGCACCGGCGGGTAAACGGGCGACGCATAGGCCTGCCGATACGGTGTAACGCCGTAGGACTGATGCACCATGGACTGGTTGAAAGGAACGCGTTGATCGCCGATGGGCACGGGTTTACCAGGGCGTCGCTTTGGAGTTGCTGGCAGCGAACGCGAGCCGGCACTTGCCGTCTCCCAGTCTTTAAGTAATGTCGTCACACGCTCCTTTTCGAGCGCCTTCTCATTCTCGCTGCTCGAGTCGTAGTCTGGACCCTGCGAACAGACAGGATTAACATTTATTATGCTCGGCTATGGTGAGATGTGACTTTCTGCTCGCGGGGTCTATTCACATGCATAAAGCGCTTGTCCGCACAATCTGCGCATTCATTAGCATGGCATTTGAATAATTTTGTTTTATTGCTGTGCAGCGAGCCTTTGTGCGCAGCGATTTAAGCGCCGTACTGAGGATATACAGACGCGACGCTATACAGAAACGTTATTAAATTTGCGGCGGCTCTTGAGCGCGGCAATAGTCAAAAATTCGTGTCCTGGGTTTTCAGGCCATCACGTATGCATGCACAGACAGTATATTCATTCGCAAAGTGCTGATTTTAATCTAATCTGGAGTCTTGCGAATAATTATATGCGACGTCTTTGCGTTGCTTTGCTTTGTGTTACTGAACGAGAACTAAATTTTAAAATTCAAAAAGGTCTTTACAAAACATGTCATGTTTGCTACATTTACAATGATGAATGAACTTCTGTTTTTGTTTGTAATTCAAAATGTTACTTGCTTTTTGGACCAAAAGATAGTACCCGTCGACCATTACTTTTCACTCATAAAATAAGAGAGTATCATTAGGAACTACTTTATTAATATTATGAATATAAAGAGCGGTTTTCAAAGAGACACTATTTTGTCTTCTAGTATATTTCCAAAGCCATTGCATATCTTTTAACGCCCTTTTGTTTATACGATAGGGAATTAATTTCTCTTTGATGTAATATATTAGTCTATGGTGTATATTTCAGAGGCATAACTCCTATATAAGAATACATTGGTGTCTATTAGCAAAATGACCTATAATGGTAAAATGGCCTGGTTGCAAATTTTGTAAAAACATTCATCTCTTGAAGTAATTAATTAATTAATTAACATATGTCCATCAAGTATGTATGTTTTTATATTTTTTTTAGGTCAGTAAATTGATGAACAGATCTGAAATTTTATTTTAAATCTGCGCACATCAGAACTTTTACTAAACATTATTTGTGGTCGAAGAATTCAGAAAAGAAATCAACCAAAAAGTGCCTCAACCATTGAAAAATCCGTCCGCATCAATGTGGATTCTATGGACAGTAAATCTTAATTAAACTTTAGTTCATCATTCTTTGCTTAAACCCAATTGGATTGTTAAGATTGCATTTAATTAGAATTTCTTTAGTCAGTAATTGTTGGGAAGTATCTAAAACCTTGATCAGTTTAGATGAATTATTTCTTCTTTTAAATATAATTGTATCATTCAGTAGCAATAAAAAAATGGTTGTTTGTAAAGTAGGTTTACGATCGAGATGTTTACGTGATAACGTCTTATTGGTGATATAAGTTTTGTTTGTTGCAATTGTTGTAACACTTCACTTGCACTTCACATTTTGTTTTACTGTTAGGCTCCCCGCACACTACAAACTTTTTATCGGCCGATAAAACATTCAACGAAAACTTAACCGCACGAGAAAATCTCCATTCGTTTGTGTGCCGCTAGAGTGAGAGAGACGGAAGATCGGTCAACTCACTCGAACGCTATGACTGGCACGGAATGACTGGCAGCGCTCGAGATGAGACGGGAGATCGGTCCGTCTCTCTCTCGTTATAACGAGAGGGGGGTATACCTGCGATCGACCTCGCTCGTGACACAGTTTCTGAACCGGTCACCCGTAAAACGATTTTAAAGACGTTATCACGTCAAAAATTTCGCAAATTTCTTATCTTGAAAATGTAACTAATTAACACAAATTTGGTGAAGGTGCCTGGCAGCTTAGTGAGTAGTCGCATTAATTATTCAAACTTAATAATATCTGTACGTAGAAATATTTGTATTAACCGTATTAAAATATCTTTTGACTTAATAGCATTAATAGCTGCAACTTCAATTGATATATTGTTCATGGTGATAAAATATATACAATCAGTTGCATCATAGTTTGTAAAGAGAGGTGAAACCTATGTTTAAGAGTTTTCTTTAAATTGTTAAATAAGTTTCAAGTACTGTCAACCGTAACATGTACTAAGTATGAATTTGAGAACAATTTTTAATTTTCTCTATTATGCCTTAAATAAAAAATAAATAATTATAACTTTTATTCCTGGCTCTTCGGAAAACTTTATCTTTTCTTCTTGTTAAAAAACTATTTACTCATATAATAATGACCACTTTATTGTTATACTTCTTCCCATTTTCTTATTTTTTAATGCAGATTCCAAACAAAATAAAAATTTAATAATCTCGACAGTATTAAAATCACAATACTCACGCTCTCAATCTTTTCGTCCAGCATCTTAAAGAAATTGTTTTGGCTTGCCGACAGCTCCCTGCAAAAGCAAGCAATAACATAATCTTTTACGCGGCGCGCCCCCGAAAACAATAACAAGCGCGGCGCACCGCCGAGCGACTTACGGGTGAACAATTAGCGGCCCACCGTACGGCTTCACTTTGATCGTCTTCTTGTCTCCGTCCTCGGCGTTCTCTTCACCCGCCTCGACGCCGTTGTTGTCCGCCTCCTCATCGACGCTGTCTGCTTTCTCCGGCGTCACTGGAGCAAAGCGAAAACAATGCGTATTAAAAATGTCAGTCGTAAGCATCCGGCAATCTTTGCATACACAAACAACCATTAGAAATGCCAAGAAGAGAAACGAGAAGAGATAGAGAAGATATTCATGCGATTAAACGTTGGAAGGACTTCACGAATGTCACAAACAGTAGCCAACGTAATCACAATTTTAGCTTGTTATTGCCGACTGTAATGTTAAATAAGTATGCAAAATGGATATTTTCTCTCCGGGTCTCAAACACTTCTGAAAATACTATTTTTAAAAATTAAAATTTTATGTGTTTCCATCAAGCTATTCTCGATTAATTAACTAGTAATTAATATTATTGTGCTGGATGCATGCGCCTCGTGCATATATGCCTCACACGCAATCATTGATTTCCAATTAATAATTAAGCGAGTTTGCCATCAGTTTGCTTCACGCCCTGCAAACGTGAGGCAGCTTCTGGCACCATTCTCATTAATTTGACGGGGTCGACACAATGCAAACACATAACTTCCATTGTGTTTGGGGCACCGTCCCAAACGCGCAAAATTATATAGTCCATCGTTTAATATTCACCAGTCTTTAACAATGCAACACCTACTTCCAATCGATAATTAAATAATTCATTCTTGTATTATTAATGTTGACAAATTACATTATAGTTGGCTTATTTGTATTTTTCATGTTTTATTTTTATAAGTATACTAGCGGCCCTGTCGAACATTGTCCCGACTTATCTTTCACGAATATTTTCGAAATTCCTGAAAGACTTTTTTAGCTATATGTGCCACATCCATTATTAAAACTCACAGTTTCTATTTCCAAATTTACAAATTGATTCACATTTATAATTATTGTCAAAATGAGTTTCTATCTGTCAACTAATAATAAAAACAGTCGAAAGGTATTGACATTTGTTAGAATCATTTGGAGTTAACAGATAATTGTGACTGTCAAATAATAACAGACAAATAATTAGCAATAAATTAAAATTGCGACTATAATTTGAGATTTAAACTATCCTATCTCTCAAGTTGGATCGAACTGCACATGGTGTGCGAATTTTATTATAATCGGTTAAGTGGTTTAGGAGTCCATTGAGGACAAACATTGTGACACGAGATTTATATATATTAAGAAGAAGAAGATTTCAACTTCTATACTAAAATTAATAAAACTAACTTTTGCGCAACCCCCATTAGTTTTTAGTTAAAAAGTAATTAATTTTTCTATCTTGATCAAGGCTTGGTATGCGTCGATTCCATAAATAAGATTCGCAATTTTATTTTAAAGAAATGAGAATTGCTAATAATTCACTTGTGCGCCATCTGGGATGTAATTATTTAGCTATAACTTTGATTGAACCTCTACACCAATTTTCATCACTCATTTAATACATTTTAAGTAAAATTTAGCTTTTAATAATTATTTTGCATTTTCTGGCGGAGGTAAATCCAATAAATCATAGATCATCAAAATCACTCCAAACGTTCGTGAGTTATAAATGTGGTAACAAACACAATTTTATTTTATAGACTAGCTTTTACTCGCGACTTTGTCCCGGTAGTGTTTAATAAAAATGTAATTCGTCTTTACTCCCATATTCTAGACATAGTATGTGGCAATTCTATCAATAAAATTCGCAATTTTATTTTAAATAATTTAATCATATAAAAAGTAGCTAATAATGCACTCAGCGCACCATCTCGGATTCAACTATTCAACTGTAACTATGATTGAATCTTAATGCCAACGTTTATCCTATAGAAAAGGGCTGTTTTTAAGGTTTTCCCGGCAATTATTCGCATTTTTCTCGGCGTAAAAACCATCCTTGGACTTTAACAAATGCGCTTACTAACAGATTTTGCGATTTATTATTTATAGATATAGATTTTACACCTTACAAGTTATAAGTGTGCAACCAAAAGTATCCTACTCATTTTTCCTTGATCACAAATATTTCTATACTAAAATTTCTCCAAAATAATTTTTTTTTGTATTAAACCGGTACACATAGGTAAACAGAGAAACTCACATTTGCATTTATAAAATGAATTCGGATTAGATCCTACAGGTTGCGATGGTGCTTTGATTATGTAACTTTTAAATTTGATTATGAATATTTGGATCGCCTGGGAAATACTCATACTTTTTCAGGTGCTTGTTGTAACTATGGAGGGCTTTTATCCAAGTGGGCGTGAAACGGGTAGCGTGATGCCTTTGGGAAGTGTGTTGTCAAGAGGTTTTTGATAAACTGGCACTCAACAAGTACATTTGCGTAAGGTGCACGCCGGCAGGTGAGCACCCAAGATACAACAAATTATTCATGAGTTATGCTTTTATGGCGAAGCTGCAGAGTGCAAATGGTTTTTAATAGAAAAAACAAAAACGGATTACTAGAGTGACGATACATGTTCGTTAAACAAAAATAATTTTGGTAAAAATGAATATCTAAATAAACTTCAAAAGAAAAATTATAGAATAATAGATTTCTATTTAAATCAATTTAAATGAACAACAACTGGAAGCAAATAACAAGACGCGTTGCATGCGTCAGCTATTTTGCTTTTTATTATTAAGTTCCTACCGAAAACTGTTCATTACATTATTAAAATTGTTTTTTTTTTAAATTTCATCCTATTAATTTCTAAAAATATCTCAAATCCGGGAATTCACATCGTTTGCAGCTATAGCGTTATTTTAATTAGTAATTAATAGCTGACCAAAGCGCTATTTTCACAATAAAAAAAGCTTGGCGTGCGCATCGACGAGCATCGTTCGATAAGTAATTAAAAAGCGCCTTCGTGGTAATTACATCCTTTTGATTAAAACGACAAGATGGCACAGGTGCCGGCAATTCATTTCAAAGCAACAACACACTTCATGTTTACATCAAAATAAAATATATTCGATATTTCGCTCAATTTAAGAACGGAAAAAAAAATCGTTCCGATTGAAAAGATTAACGTCTGCGGATTTGGGATTTCGGCGTTTGTGGCGTCGCTCGTATCCGATCGACTTTGATGTTTCGCCTGTGCGCGGATGGCGGCTGTGAAGTAGTAAATCGATTCTAAATATTTGAGACCGGCAACGTTTTTATTGATACTTAGTAGCGCACGCATGTGTCCGAATCAATCCGCGCGTTCAGCTGCTTGGTTAAATAAACAGGACGAGCTGAGCCAGCGTTCGGATCTTTCAAATGTTGCGAACATTTCCTGAGAGTTGCATTTCAACTCAAAATATGTGTAAATATTTAAAACAATGCCAACTATTTATCATACTGCTTCCACAGTTAATTTTGACAAACAACGCACTAGGCAACCAAATCTACATGCAACTTATGCACACACTATAATATATATCATTACTTAACCTCAATAAATATAACCACTGGTTTTGTTAATTGAAATTGTGTTTTATGAAGAAACATTGCAGACTGTAAATGTAACGAGTAAGTGATAGCTGTAAAATAATTATCTCTGTTCTTAAAACGATGTTATCTGTTACAATTTCACGAAATGATAACGAATGACGTCGAAAGAAGAATGAAGTCAATTTTGCAGTGTGAAAACATGCTCTCAAAGAGTACTCGTGCGCCACCCACTTTCCTATCGACCAACAAACATCCCGCGCATCCAAACTGCCTATGGAGTGAGCGAATTGGGGGTTTGGGTAGCAACCAACATTTTATCTTCTGAGCACGTCGCAACTACAACTTCTGCTTCAGTTTCGACGCATCTTCTGACGACGCAGTGCGCGTTACTCGCCGACGCAATGTGCCACATCGAATAATACAACATAGTGGCATTATTGCAAACGACGTCAGCTCGCTTCGTTTATTATTCAGCCCGTGCTTTGCTAAGCTACGGATTAATTTCCTGCAACTGAAATATTCATGATGTAAACTTGTCAGATGATCTCGATTTGCATTCACTTAGCTATATTGTTTATTGACTAATTACGATTGCAAGAGCAAAAATAAGGAATGAAAATATCGAGTGGCATTAAAACACTGAGTAAAATAAGTTAATTTCATTTTACGGTGCATTGAAGACCCTAAAATCCCTTTATATTTAATATAAATATACTCGTAAATATGTAGCCTTATTAAGACCTTAATTATACATCAACTTATACGCCCACTTTGATTCTCCCTTTCATTATTCCCTATCAGTAAGCACTCATAAAACGTTTAGCAGTGTTGCATATTGATTTCCTTATCGGCGCTGACGAGGACGCATCCTTAGGCAATCGAAACGTAGTTCCATTTTTAACGTTGCTCATCAATATTGAACTGGTGAATCTATTTGCTCGTGTGATGATTATTCCTATTTAATGACATTACGTTAACTCCTTTAACGAGAAAGCTTCTTTTGCTCGGCTGAAAACCTAGCTGTAATTGGATGATAATCGAAAAAGGTCGTCAAGTATATAGGTACGAGTATAATCCGAATGTCGTAAACAACAAACCGATGACGAATGCTTGTGGAATATTTAATGATATTGCATATATATTTTACTAATGATTATTTTTGTTTTTGCAAGGTAATGTATATATAAATATAATTTGGAGCCAGTTTAGTAAAAAAAGAATACGTATTGGACGTCCCAGGAAGTACTATAGTCGATTTTGATAAACATTATATTCGGTTCTGCATAAAATCTCAGTTAATTCTCTCTGCATTACCGCCACCACAAAAAAAGTAAGAAAAAATAATTGCATCTTATCGTCATTGCGATTTGTATTATACTTAATAAAAAACAATGAATAATAATGCAATATTTAAGGAGATTGGAAAATTTACAATTATTCACTTATTAGTTATTTAATTATGAATTTATTAAAAATTATGTGTGAGTATACTAGAAGTGAAACTTCAAAGAGTTATATTTATTGCTAATTAATTAAGATAGAATGAAGAAATAGTTTATTTTCATTTTTATTGTTAAGCAAAAAGAAGGTTAGTCTATAATGGAACCGAGCCCAAACAGCATAACAAATGATATACAGATAACTTAAAATAAATTTAATTTATAGAAACACTCAAGAATACATTTAAATTATCTATAAAGCCATTGTAGTTTCTCAATTCAATTGCAAACTCTGTATAATGTTCAAGGTACTTCAGGTCATAGTAAGATGTCGTTGCAAAGAGAAACAAAAAATAATAAAACTTTGGATTAATTCGCAGACCGCGAATATACATGCATGCATCTCTTCGTCACGTTAAAGCTAGTTATAAACTCAATTAACCTGCTAAGTGCGTCTGTAAATATTTCATAAAAGCTAAATATGATTTAAATTTTGTATTGCATTCATTGGTGTTGGGTTAAAGGATTTTGTTTTTACGTGTTATGTAACCAAACAAATTAGCATAGAAATCGAACTTTAGAAATGTAAATTTTCATAAAGATTTTCCGGTAATAAAATTTTTGAAAGTTAGAACTACGAGCAATGTGTAGTGTTTCACCGAAGACATCACTATTATTAAGGTAGTAAGGGTAAATTAAAATATAAATATGATTCTTTTGTGTTTAGATTGTGTTTGACAAGATGGAGAATAGACAGATGATGCTATTTGCTGCAATAAAGCACACGCCATACTGCTCTTTTAAGGATTCTTTTTACATTAAAAACTAAATTGGTTGCAAGTTTGCAGAGTACGCATTTAAACATGATGTAATAACAGTACATACCTTCATGTTAATTGTGAAGTTGTAACCAGATAAAGAGTAGTATTGGTATTAACATCTAAATGTACGGAATTTTTTTATTTGTATGAAAAACTAATCATAACTCATGCATTAGGTATTACCTAAATTTACACAGCATTATATTAAATTATTAAAGTTTCTTTGGTTTACTTGAGAATTCAATTGAGAATTTATTATTTATGGATAACATACGATTAAATTAACAATGTAAATGTTACAGTAGCGAAATATTAACATAGATTTTGAATAAAAAATTCTTATCACCTTAGCATTTATGGAAGTTTTTTTTAAATATTCCTAGCAGCAAAAACATTCCTTCATTTTTAACTTTGTAATGAGTATCGCTACCTATTTATTATTTTAATAAATAATAAGCCGCAAAGTATTAAGAATTTTACCTCAATAATTTGAATCAAGAAAATTAAGAAAAATAAATATTTATCTATCAACAAACTTTTGCTCGCAACTTCCGGTATTGTTTAATAAAAATGTAATTTGTTTTTACTCGCTTGTTCTAGATATACTCGTAGTATGTGTCAATTCTATCTATAAAATTCGCAATTTTATTTTAAAGAAATTAATTATATAAAGAATTGCTAATAAAGCACTTCAACGCACCATCTCGGATTCATCTATTTAATTATAACTATGAGTGACTCTCAATGCCCACTTTTATCCTATAGAAAAGGGTGGCCTTTAGGGTTTTCTCGGAAATTATACAAATTTTTTTCACCGTAAAAACCGTCCTTAAACTTTAACGAACATTAAAAAAAAAAGAATTGGCCAAAATTGGTTTAGGCGTTGTTAAGTTGCGCTTACCAACAGATTTATCGATTCATTTTTATATTATAGATTCAACACTACGCAACTTATATTTTTACTATCAAAAGTGGCTTTATTTGTTTTTCCTATGTCAAAAATATCACAATAACAAAATTTATAAATACTGATTGAGTGGTTTTTATGTGAAAGTGTCATAAACAACAAACTCACATTCGCATTTCTAATATTAGTTCGTGTACTGATTATATGAAACAAACTTAATTACAATATGATAATATGTTATTTAGCAAATTGATTTGAATTGCACGATAGTGTTGATACATGTGTGAATTGCATTAATTCATGTCATTCGCTGAAAGCGCGTCGAAAATGCTAAATTAGTGGATTGCGGTTATGCGCTACGGTAAACATGAAACAGTTCAATTGAAAAGTTTATCATTCAACAGTTTATAACTCGCTGCACGTGTGATAGCAATGGTGAAATCCGCCTAAAAAGTTTTAACTGTCTAAAATGTCAAAAAAAAATCATAACTATATTATAAACCGCATCCAGTAAAATAAAATTTTCCGCAACATAAATTTAAAATTGAATGAGGTTTCCATTATTTAATCTTTCATATTGTTGACCTAATTATACGTTAATTAAAAAATTAATAAATTATCCAGTTACTATCAACTAGCGTGTCACTATAATGGAAAATAATTAGAGACATCAATCGTACATTTATAAGTAACTATATTTGTACCCAAGAGTTGTTACGCCGCAATTATTATCCAACAAAATAACGAAAAAAATTATTGAATATTTAATGCTGCATCGATTTGTGCGGTTTAACTAGACGTAGGTGTACTTTAAACTCGAAAAATGTAAATCACATTTGTACGCATTGCAAATAACACGGAAGGTGTAAATTTGGAACATGTTTATAAATCGAATAGTCCAATTTTATGCAAATTACCGATCCAAAAATACACTGAAGCACTTTGCAGTTTCATAGTCTAAATCTAAGTACTCGTACTTAAACTAATCCGTCTCTCTACCAAACTCAATACGAGTAAGTAAGTGAAAACGAGTAAAAACAAATTTTGTTATGAAACATCGATAGAATCAACTCTAGACAACTTAACTAAACAGAAGTTGCTCGGTGTATATGAATATCACCTGTCAAACATAACCCGAATGCAGCAGATTCATTGGTGAGAAACATGCCGCTGTATTTGTCATTATTGGGGCACACGCACGAATTGACACATAAATAGAACTGATAACGTAGTGTCGACCGTGGCCAGAGGTGCGGCGTATTCGTTTGATGTGTTGATACTTGTCGTGTTGTGGTTTCATTCGCATTTACATGGGTGTGCGAGTCGCCGCCGTCGTATCGCATCTTGCGCGCATCCGTTTGGTGACAATCATTCGGGCACACTGCCAGCGCGGACGACAACGCCGCCAGCGAAATTTGGTTCTGCAAAACACATAGCTCGGGACAACTTGACACGAGTAACCCGATGTGTGCAGGGTCGCGATATGATTTCTACGAGAGAATAAATAGGAAGTGGATGTAAATGGTGGCAAATGTGTACTAATATTTTTGTGGTGGCACACACTCGTATTGGACATATGTTTGCTTTGCAAAAATCGTAACATCAAAGTATTCAAACGCATAACATCATGCACTATGTACACAATAAAATTACATTTTATTAAAATAAGCAATTTTTCATAGTTCAAGGCTTTCAACACAAATAACATTTTAAAAATGTACTCCTCATAAATAGAATAATAATTTGATGTACAATGGGTTGCATATAACACAATAGAATTACAATACTTTGACTTCTCGTTTTTGTAATTGTATAGAAATACGAGTATTAAGCCATAGTTAAATAACTTCATTTACAATCATAAAACTAGTAATACTCGTACACCTAAAATTAATTGGATTGTTTCATTTCGCAAATGATTCATGTATGACAGAATTTGATAGATTATAATTTGAGAATTTACATAGCAGTGGATTGCCGGGAAAGCGCTTTGTTCGCAAAAATCACGATCGAATCGATGCGAGAGACTATAACCGAGTACAGTGACCTATTTCGTGCGCGTTTTTAATGGTCTCTAAACAATACGGCCCGCCCATCCGATGATCATCGTCGGCGGTGATCAATATTTACTGTGCCCTCGCGACTTCCATGCGCCAGCAACGAAATAAATCTTCGTTTTTGGCAAATTTATATCGCATCAATCACGCATCCAAGCCCTCATAGTGATTATATGCGAAGCGTATACATAAACACATACAAAGAAGGCTACAATACCGCGTCAGTTCGTAATGGCGTTGCGCCAGAGAGCAGATGATAATATCATATATTCATATACTCTTCGTTCGTGCGTCTATCGTAGCATACGGCTTGAATTTATAAACATGCACGTCGCCGCCGGCGGCGGTGGAGGCGTTGCTTGAATGCAAAACGAGCGCTATCGTTTACAGTGTAAATTGGGTTGCCTAAAGTAAAAATTATTACCTAACCATAGTTAAATACTTCTCGCTTAGATTTAAATTCCTATCAAATAATCACAACAAAAACTAAAGTTCTAACAATTTTTGATTCTTTTCATTTTGCGTGTGGTATTTATGAGTTTACGCATCTCGTGCAGACGTTGTATATCGACGTCGCTGTTACCTTGGCAGGATCAAAGGATAAAAATAAAAATATCGCATAGTCGATAATAGCGCCGTCATCCCCTTTATCAGTCAATACCTTTATGCGAGTACTGCGCCTAGTACTTACATATAGGACTCTTTTTTTTTTCGCATAGACGTTGATAGAGATTTTGTCCCAAAGGCGTGAGAACAATATCGTCGAAACGTAGACGTAGACATAGGTCCCGACCCTACCGACGCGTCCACTTCTTATTTATGAGTGCATCTATATATAAGTCGACGGCTCGAGGGCCTCCAGGGCGCTTTATTACCAGCATGCTTTATAACTCACTCGAAATCGGCGTGACGTCGCGATGAATCCCGCACAAAAGTTTTATCGCAGCATTTGGAATTTTGTGTAATCGTAAATTTTATTAAATTAGGTTATTAAGAGAGTCAGAAGTAAGATGTGATTATCATAATGTTGAAAGTTGAAGCATTGATAATTGTCTTTTGAGAATAGCTTTTATAGATAGTGAGATGAGATGAACTTACCGGTTTTCTTTGCAGAGGCGTTCTTGTTGCGATTGCGTTTGGGATAAATGTTAATTTTGCTGTGCCCGCAGCCCATGATCCCAGCCGAGATGGCCCTGCCCCCGAACAAAGTGCGGATTCGGTGAGGTACCTACAGATCACCGCATAATCTCGCAGGGAAGAGACGGTCTTGTCTTTGATACCAGCGGCGACGGGTCGAATTCGGGCATCTGTGAGAAACAAGCGGAACTGATTTTAGCACTTATTACTCTTTCATTTTCCAATTTAATTTGATTACCACTCCAACATCAAAGGAAGGGACAAAAAGCTACTATTTCATAGTAATCGACTGAATATTATATTTCATTTCAAGATTTCTCATTTCTTTTGATAATTTTTCTATTAAACGAAGAAAAATGTATATTACTCGTAAAACTGAGTTTAGAATTTTGCAGAAAATGTATCTTATTCATTCAGGGTGAATTACAAACTAGATAGAAGTAAAAAATAAATTAAAGGTTATGATGTAATTCAACTAGCGCGTGCGTATATTTTTTATATTTTTATTTCAAACTTTACATCTACCAATTTTTAATCCGATGAAATTGCTTTTATTAAAACCACAATCGACTGCCCAACTACCGAGCTTTTGATGGATGTATCGATCGGTAGATATGAAAGAGTGTTCGTCTCCCTGCGGAAAACTTCCTTTTTTTGAGAATTCCATAGCCTTTGAAACAGCAAATAGGCTGAAACAGTGGCGACGAATGGAGATAAAGCAAAACGATGACGTCGATACCGAATTGCGTGGCAGCGACGACGGCGGCAGCGCTGAGGGTGCATCGCCACGTGAAGGCAAAGGCGGCGAAGGACCGGAAAGAAGAATCGATTTGAGGCAGGTCACATAAGGTCATCTTTGTGTCTTTCTCGCGCCGCGACGCGCGCTCCTTAAACATGCAACGCACCCCTGCATCTCGCATAGCGATTCGTTTACATTTTTCGCTCAAGGACTGGCGAAAATTCGTGCATATTCATAAATATAAAGAGAGATGAGATAAATAGAGGGGAAACGACGCGAGCGCGCATATAAAGGGAGCGTTTCTGGGATGGGAGGAAAGATTGAGAGAAGAAAAGCGGAAACAGCAAATTGTGTGTGAAGCGCGTGCGGAAAGCACACAGAGTACACACAGTAAAATAAAAGAAAAACATCGAACAAAGAAACATAAAGATGCGCAACTAAACATGCAACATCCAAATAAATTACAAGGATGTTAAATTAAATTTATTTTTATTTTCGTGCAAAATCTAACCTAAAAAAGAAGAAGAGATTTAGGTACAGATATACTATAAATTATAATCAGACTTAATTTGAGGTTATGAGACACAACTGAAACTAAATGTATATCCAATTTATTTTGGATAAACCTCCACGCCGCAATTTGGTGATTTCCTTTGCAGTTCTAGATTTGCAACAAAATCACTGCTTCTTATAGGCTCTGTTTGGGGCCATTACGCAACTAAGCTTGGATCCACTACATGTATATCTATATGGATCCGGATCCATAGAGTACTCTCAGAAAGTTATCCAACTTTCCTCCACCTGAGCGGAGTGAACAAAACATACAAAAAGCCAAAGAATATGGTCAAAGCAATCTCTTTCAAAACCTTTTTTGAATTAATTAACATTCAAGCGTCTTTTATTACATTATGCTTCTTCAGATGTCAAACGAAAGAATCAAATATTAATAGGCAACACATTATACGCTAATTGAAATGTATTGTTGCTATTCACGCTTTGGTTATATTATGTAAGCCTAATCGAATTTAACCTGATGTCGCAGCATATAGGACTCCAATTAGTCGGTACTGAAATCTGCTGAAACACAACTTTCATAACTTCCGGCCGCAATTGTCGCGCTCGCCCGAGTTCGTTAATAACTTCATCGGAAATCGAATTCAAAATACATAACTGAATATGTATCGCTAAAATACATCAATTTCCAAACTGAAAACATTAATTTTCCATTTTATCATTGCCAGCTACCCGTGTAGTAATTTAATGTAATGTAAGCACTGAGACAATATTTATGGCTTGATAGCAACGATCATAATGACGTTGATGTATGATGAGTGCCGCTTTCCCGTAATTTTCCATCGCCCTTCGATTAATTACGTTTTATATCTCCGCTTCCAGGTAACCACGCGCAACTGAGGTAATCAAAGTGCCCACAGGCGTTTCGCCACTTTCCGTTTTCCGGAAACGTTCCCGTCAAACGCCGCAAGTAAATAAAGCTGTTATACGGTTTTATCCCCGTTACTTTTCTCGCGTCGTTCGATAAATTCAAATTCGGCACCGAGACGAAACAGAGCGGAAAAAGTAACGCGTATCGCAAGCCCGCCGCTGGCCAATATACCAACATTATGTTGAAGCGTGGAAAGAACGAGATGCCTGTCGGCGGCAAGCGAACGAAAGTTTCCTAATCACATTAATTGTCGATCTCTCCCTACAACTTCCTCTGCTCTTGTGCCAATGGCGGAGCAACAGAAATGCTCGCATGCTGTGCTCAGAAGATGCCAAAAAGCAACATGGCGCAAAAGTTTTTTTTGTTAATTTTTAAGAACCATAAACAAATTTTAAAGAAATATTAAATTTTAAAATAATCTTAACAATGAAACAAAGCATCGCATTGTTGGATATCTTATTAAAATTAAATTATATGCAATGAATAAACATTCCAAGTGCGCTGCGCTCGCCGCAGTAGGTCGGAATGCGCTGCAAAGTGCAATAACAATAATAGCACATCAAAGCAATCACAGTTCTAAAAAAAGCCCGCCGTACCCTTTTGCAGCTGCATTGCACATCGCTCGAACACGAAGAAATTCTTTCATCATCGCAGACAAACACGCAAACAGCGTAAACGTCCGACGCGTCATTTCGCGCGGCGCGGCGTCTTAATCGAGCGTGAAATTCTCACTTTAATCATTAATTTATTGCGATAACACGCTCGCCGCGATATTTTTGTTCTGACATTTTAGCGCCCACGCCACAACTCAACCGCCAATCGCTCGCGGATGAGCGCATAAACGAATAAACGCGAGACGCGAATTTTTATGCGCGTCGCAAAGTTTATCTTCACAGATTCGGCGACCCGAAACCGAAGAGGAAACATTAATTTCCCGAATGATTTATGGCATTCATCGATGGGCATAAAAATACGAATTTTCGTATTTTTGTGAAAATATTGAAAGGAGGCATAAAATATATACAAACGAGAAAATAAATGAACAAAGAAAAGACACGAAAACATTTTTATACAGTGTGTTATTATTATTTATCAGAATATTCACATTTGCAGGTTTGTATATAATGTTAAAATACTGTTGCCTTAATAAAATAAAAGGAAAAATGTGTTGCAGGTATTTTTTTGTTATAAAAAAAATTTCATTTTAAGAATTTACGTTGTAAATATCATTCTAGTTGTTCTTAGTTTTGGCATATTTGCATATGCATATTTTAGCTTAGTGCATATAATCCGATGTCAAGTTATTAATAAAAAAACATTAAAAATTCTGCATCTACGCGTTGATAATAACACCAGGAATTAGAAATTAATCTCTGACATTTTTCTGCTTTTAACAAACAAAAATAAAACAGTTAAAATCAAATAAACTCCGCATCCTAATGAAAAAGTTAAATTAAAGAACATACCAACTAAACTACAATTACTTCCATTGTAGGCACAATGAGACATCATTATTCGACATTTTTAATAACTGAAGTAAAATGTTTCTTTTCCTTCAACTTTTTTCATAGAAACGCTCTTATAATTTCCGTTTCAGCGGATTTCAATTGTCTAGGTTTGCTCGCATTGTACAGTCTTTACTTCCGCTCATCTTTCAGAAAGGGAATATCAAGCATTCAGAACATATCAAAGATGGCCGCATTAAAACGTGAGCCGGTGAGCCTGCTTTGTTTCGCGGGAGCCATGTTTTCAATAAAATCTCGCACAAGATTTACACTGTTTATCGTTTAGATTTAAATTTAATCCGGCGGCGTACGCACTACGCTGCAATAATTTATACGGTTATTAAATCGACACTCGCTGTATAAATACGTGTGTTTTATCTATAGTCTGATTTTACGGCATGTAGAATTATACTCTATGTTCGTGAAAATTCAATACGTTTATCTATAATATAAAAATGAATCGCAAATTCTGTTGGTAAGCGCATAACTCAACAATGCCTACACCAATTTGGCCAATTCTTTTTTTAAAATGTTTGTTAAAGTCCAAGGACGGTTTTTACCCCGATAAAAATTTGATTAATTTTCGGGGAAACCCTAAAGACAGCCCTTCTCTATAGGTTAAAAGTTGGCATTAAGATTCAATCCTAGTTGTAGGTGAATACATAGTTGAATCCGAGATGGCGCGCTGAAGTGCATTATTAGCAATTCTTTATATAATTAATTTCTTTAAAATAAAATTGCGAATCTTATTGATAGAATTAACACATTCTATGTCTAGAACAAGAGAGTAAAAACGAATTACATTTTTATTAAACAGTACCGGGACGAAGTTGCGGGCAAAAGCTAGTTGATAGATAAATATTTATTTCTCTTAATTTTCTTGATTCCAATTATTGAGGTAAGATTCTTAATACTTTGCGGTTTTTTATCACACATACACGTGGCTGACACATAAAGATAGCTAGAATAAATTGATATTTATTAAAATAATAAATTGGTAGCAATACTCATTACAAAGTTAAAAATGAAGGAATGTTTTTGCTGCTAGGAATATTTTTTAAAAAACTTCCATAAATGCTAAGGTGATAAGAATTTTTAATTCAAAATCTATGTTAATATTTAGCTACTGTAACATTTACATTGTTAATTTAATCGTATGTTATCCATAAATAATAAATTCTCAATTGAATTCTCAAGTTAACAAATAAAACTTTAATAATTTAATATAATGCTGTGTAAATGAAGGTAATACCTAATACATGAATTATGATTAGTTTTTCATACAAATAAGAAAATTCCTTACATTTAGTTCTTAGTACCAATACTACTCTTTAACTGGTTACAACTTCACAATTAACATGAAGGTATGTACTGTTATTACATCATGTTTAAATGCGTACTTTGCAAACTTGCAACCAATTTAGTTTTTAATGTAAAAAGAATCCTTAAAAGAGCAGCATGGCATTCGGGTTGTTGCAGCAAATAGAATCATCAATAATTACTTTCAATAATTTTATTGATGACAAATTTTACGAAAATTTATGTTAGGGTAAAAGAGGGTAATGGGGGTCACTTAAGGGAGAACTCAAATATAATTTAAATTATAAACGAAATACTTATTGCAATCGCTTATAAGCATTGTTTACTTAAATACCTATTATTTGAAATAATTTTCAGTCACTTTGACAATCAATTTTGGATATTATTAAAGTTTAAAAAAAAAACAGATTTGACTCCCATTACACCGACATGCGGGTAATGGTGGTCACCCTGGGGACAATCGGAATCAAACGAAATCTAGCAGATATCGCAAACATAATATTCCGCAAAGTCCCACCCAGTGCATTTCACATGAGCCCATAGCCCAAATGAAGTGCTATGAACCACATTTAATTGTTTTTTTTTTAAATCGTTGCACATTAGACATCAGTTTCCCAAATCTTCATCCATCGCCCTGGCATAAGTCATCAGTGCCAATATAGGAATCATAAGTTTTGTTACTTTCCTGCAGTATCGTTTCTGCATGAAGGCTATTGAAAAATAAGTCACATTGCTTTTTATAGGCCATTTAGAGCGGACTAAAGACAAAAACGTCCATTGGGAGTCGCATGACTCCCATTGCCCACAATTGCAATTACTGTGAAAAAAAAACAAAAAAAATATTTCTTCAAAACATTAATGTAATCTGAACTGCACATCACGATTTTGAATGTTTAACTAAGACTATATAAAAGTTTCATTCGAATATTGCAAGATATTCGACACTTATATTCTAATTTGCGTGGACGTAAAATTAGATCAGCGGAGCTCAAAAATAAAATATTGGCGTATCTCAATGATACACGCACCGATTTGCATGATTTTTTGGGGGTGGCACTGGGGGGCCAGACCGGAGGTAGGAACGCCGTTTACGCGGTACTCGTAACTATTGTTTCGTGGATTTATGGGTGACTCCCATTACCCGCTGACTCCCATTACCCTACTCTCCCCTACTGAAAATCGATTTATATGCTATTTTGTTTGGCTACATAACACGTTAAAAAAATCCTTTAACCCTACTCCTGTGAATGCAACACAAGATGTAAAATCATATTTAGCTTTTATGAAACTCGGTTAAACTCGGAAACTAGGTTTAAGAAATTCAGACTAAATCTTTCACGTGATGAACAAATGCGTGATATGCGGTCTGTGGGATAATTTAAGGTTCTAATATATTTTGTTTCTCATTGTAACGACCACTTATTATAACGTTAAATATGACCTGCAGTTCCTTGCACATTGTGCAGAGAATGAAATTGAAATGAAAAGCTAAAATGGTTTTATGGATAATTTGAATGTATTCTTAATTGTTTCCATAATTGAAATTTGTTTTAGGTTATCTGGATATCATTCGTTATACTGACTTTTATGCTACATGTCGTCTTGTCTGAGCAAGATCCATTGGAAAATAATGGCATAACCATGTATGTCGGATCAATACTTTTACATTTTATCGGGTTGATTACCAATATTGTCCGATGGATATTACTTATTGTTTGGGGTATCCCGTATATACTGAAGACGTTGATTGGTTGGGTACTCTATCCGTTTGGGATGGGTTCTCCTGACATTTTTGACTTTCCTGAGATTTCTGATTAACCTTCTTTTTGCTTAACAATAAAAATGAAGCATGAACTCTTACTTCTTCTCTACCAGAATCTAATATTATTTTGATAAACCTTCACATATAAAGCATGAATTATACCGTGCGGCAATATTGGTGATGAATTGCATGGGCAAGTTTTGAAATGTTATGGAATTTCTAAAAGTCCTCGTGTGAAAACGCACAAGTTGCATCGCAGCAGATGAAGCGAATGCGAACGTCGCGACGCGATGGCTGCCACTAAGCTCCAGGCGCCTGAATAAATACGACATGTCGAAGACGTCGGACCGTAAATACTCACATTACGCGCTTGTCGATATAGACCTATATAAATAGCAGTGGTATAACAAAAGAGATTTTTTTGTAGTGACTATGAAATGTAGATAAAGCATTTAATTTTAAAAAATAACAGAAAATAAATGTCAAAATGTTTTGAAGAATTTATGTACGTGTAAACAAATGCTGGAACTAAAAATTGATTTGTCAATTTAATATTCGAAAATCTATATACAAAACGTAGACATATTACCGCGTCAGAAGAGCAATTTTGATGATCTATCATTTTTGGGTTTATCTTCGCCCCAAATTTCAGAATAATTATTAATATATCAAAGATAATGACATTTATATAATTTTTTTATTAATAGAATCCAAGATGACTTTTAAGTTCAATATTAGCATTTCTCATTTCTTTAAAATAAAATTGCGAATATTATTAATGAAATCGACACATATTAGGTTTTGAACGAAAAAGTTAAAACTAATTACATTTTTACTAAAAATAGTAATGCATAAATTACATAAGCATTATTATAATTAAGTAAAGTAAACAAAAAAAAAACAATATTCAATCAACTTAACAACGTTGCGCACATAATTAACATTCGAAACTTTGAAACGTTGAATGTAATGTAATTTATGTAAATTGTGATTTTATGATTAATACCGTTAATTATTTGGATGTCACAAAGTTGGGTTACTTTTAATTAGATAATTACATTGCATATTACACAATTTTTCTGTAATGTAAGAACATGTTTTCGTTAAATATCTCCGCTAATTTATAGCTTTGTGCATAATTCCATGCTGTAAATTGCGTTTAAAAACTTAATTAACCAAAATCCTAAGAGACATCATAAAAACTTGGCTGCACGCTGTAAACTAATGAACATTCTGATGATGGCACGACGTGCAAACGTTGTGAACGTGCCTGAAGCGGGGCACGCTCGCGGGTTTTTATTTTGAATCAGTCGTGATGCGATATTTATGCAATGCACCATTCAAAAAATGCGCTTCTATTTCGAAGCGTGTCACTGAACTCTCAGATTAATTTGGGACGCGTGGCTGTAAAAAAACAAACTGGACTGTGTGAATTCACGTGTGCAGTTACATTTTTGACACATCTGTTCATATATTATGAAATTATCTGTTAAAACAATGAAAATGTATTGAAAACACAACATTTATGTATCAGCCACATCAAAAGATAGGGTAATGATTAAATCACATGGTGCGCATGCGTCGCAACTTTGCATAATTGAATTTATAACAAAATTTGACAACTTAAATAACTTTAAAAAAACTTATCATCGGTTTTCAGTGCACGGTGGAATGGATTGTTTCTACGTTTTATTGCACTTCGTGATGTGTGAGGTCGATTGGCTGTTTCGATTGAAACGAAATGGCGGACGAGGACGTGAGCGTGAAGCGCAAGTGCGCAATCTATGCCTTTTTTTTTGCAACACTTTCCACAATAATACCCCTCGATAGCTACAAATCCGCAAATGCAATAAACCAGCCGTACGTGGCTACCCCTAACGCTCAAACCGCTAACCAACCAAACAACTTTTTGCCCTTACAGATCCGTTCGCTCTGATCTAAATCAAATTTAAATTAAGAATCATGTGTTTCCCATCGTTCACAAAACATTCGTCGAATTTTCAACAATGTACGCACAAACAATGACGCTCGAAAATTTGAAAACGTGCAATTCTTACAAATTCAATTCCATCCATTCACAATTTACGTTTCGTTCATATTTCGGTGCGTGTCGAATTTATATTTTCGCCGATTCGAATTGAGCGAATGAATGAATCACGCGTCAATCAACAGGCTAAAATTAATCATAACGTTTAGCACTCTTCGGCGAGTTTGGTGATGTTTTGGCTACGAATTAATTTGTTTGCCATTGGAATGGAATCGCGTGGAATATTCACAATTCACACATGCCAAAATGAGTACTTTGAAATTTTAATTTACATAGGTTAGACTGTTTAGGTAAAGTTAATGGACAGTATAATATAATTTACTGATTAAATCATTCGCTAAAAGTGTGAATTTTTGCGATTTTATCATTTTATTCAGTTACTTTTAAGGTTATATGTTGTGTGGATTATATAGGTCATACTGTTTTGCTAGCAGATAGAATATAAAACTAAAAAAAACGTTTAATGTAAACAACAACAAGATCAACACAAAATGCAACAAGTGCTCTTGTTATTCTTTAAAATACCTGCACGGCGCAGTATATTAGCATTTTAAAATGTCTTTTAAAGTGAATTAATATCGAAAAACTGCATTAAACATATTTTAAATTCATCAAAATGAATGTGAATATTAAAAAATAAATAACGTTTGCATGTTAACACACAATCATCCCAATCGGCACGAAACTACTCGTTAATTAGTTTTAGACAGCTCACGGAATACATAATCCATTAATATTACGTGTTGTAGGTTTTAATTTATTTGAATGCAATTAAAATTGAATATTAAAGAATGGAACTAGAAACAATAATGTGTTTTCGAAAATAAAATGATGCCATTTTCTCCATCAAACTTGGCAATTAATTTATACCGCAGTAAAAGCTGCTCCAAGATGCATTAAATAGTAATTGTATTTGTTTTAGAAAATTGGTCGAGCTGAAATTGTGCTTGATGCTCGTAAAGTGTTGCGAATGTTCGCAACGATAAAATTATAATTGATTTTTTCAGCGTTTTGTGGAAATTTCCCAGGCACATTTTCAACGCTGTAACTTTAAATATCATCATGAATAATAAAGGAAAAAACCAAATTTAGGTTTTAAAACATCTTTACAATTACAAAGTATTCTATGGGAAGAAGAACAGATTGCTGCTGTCATATTTGTCTTTATTGTGGCTACTAAATAAAATTCTTTAGCTTTTGCATCGACATATATAATTTGGGACATTGGATGTAATGTAATATTTTCTAATGGTAATTGTATCTTTTGTAGTATAATCTATAATATAAAAATGAATCGCAAAATTTGTTTGTAAGCGCATAAGCCAACAACGCCTAGACCAATTTGGGCAATTCTTTTTTTTAAATGTTCGTTAAAGTCCAAGGATGGTTTTTACGGCGAGAAAAATTCAAATAATTGCCGAAAAAAACCTAAAAACAGCTCTATATAGGATAAAAGTTGGCATTGAGATTCAATCATAGTTATAGTTAAATAGTTGAATCCGAGATGGCGCGCTGAAGTGCATTATTAGAAATTCTTTATATAATTAATTTCTTTTAAATAAAATTGCGAATATTATTGATAGAATTGACAGATACTATGTCTAGAACAAAAGAGTAAAAACGAATTACATTTTTTCTAAACACTACCCGGACGAAGTCGCGAGTAAAAGCTAGTAGTATAATAAAAATACATAATAGTGGTCAAAATAGGTATTTTTAATTTGGATAAAACCATAATCAAATAATTTTCTGTGTTAACCGTCTTAAACTATCCTCAAATTGCGGCTATACTTGAACATAAAGTATTTGTATTGTTTTTGAAAACACATTTGAAGTTAAGGATTGTACGGATTCGGTAATCTTACGGTCACAACAGGCAAGTAGTGCGTCAACACACAAAGAATCTACACAACTTCATTTAGCAGAAGCTTTTTCAACATATGATCAGGTTATAAAACTTGTAAATATAATGAGGTTATGTGGTTTGTTTGTTTCCCTAAATAAATAAACTGACAATTTCTTGAATCGATCAACAAAATAAACCAAAATAAATTCTAGTTTTTGAATACAACAATTATTTTGCGTTTCATTAGCTAAGCGTTCGTTATCTGACTAAAACTCTGATAAATAACGATCTACCAATAACAATAACGAAAAAAGTGTATTAACCCCGGCGCACAAAGCACGACGTTTCTGTCGATAGCTGCAGCAAATACAAAGGCAGCATTTTTAACACCCCCGCACGCTGATGAGCGCTCGGCTCAAATTACCGCCCCGTATTTGTATTCTTTGCGCAACGTCGCCAGCGAGAGGTAAATTGAATTGAACTGACAAACGGACCGTCGTAGCATCCCAATTCGGGCGAATTGACAAATTACCATACAGGGTTGAATAGCTTGGGATCACCAGTGGATATATCTATACATCAATTTAATTTAATTGAAAATAGTCAAAATATTTACCCAAAAAATACGGCCAATAAAAATATATTGAATATTTTACCGGCAAGCATTTTAATTGAAGAAGAATTTTTATTACGAAGCCGCAAACGAGTTGATTAATCCCAAATGTCAAATAAAATCGGTTAATATCTGGGGCAGCGAAGTCATTACAAAACCCACGCAGCTAACAATACAGCTCGCTTGGAGCACCCCACATTCTAGAACGAATTAAGGCTAGATATAATGTGTGGCTTCGGGCGACTTCCGCCACATCGTTCGGTGCGCTCCAGCAACACGTTCCGTTGGCGAAGGCGCCGGGCACGCAAATGCAAGCTTGCTGGTGCGCGAGAACGCATTAGGTGTTTTGAAATTATAGAGCAAAGCGCGCGCAACGTGCTATAACTCATTCGTAAATTGAACGCAACCGCGAAGTCTCTTTGTCCCCACAATTTGCACGCTGGCATTCTGGTGAAAGAGCTACAAAAGCGTGTTTTTTTCTCTCTACGCGTCGTGAGCTTTATCTGACGTGCACGACGTGTAGGGATAGGAGGTGAGACGTATATGTGCTTATTATAGTTCGTTGCACAATTCAGAGTCTGTTTCATCCGCTTCGTTTGCGACATTGATTTGGAAAATTTGAGGTTTTTTTTGTATAATCTAATAAATCAAAAAATTGAGATTTCTTAAAATTTTAATGATGTTATTTTACGATTTCTAAAGAAATAAATTGTAAATTTTATGCGATTGCATCTTTAGCAGTTTTAAAGTTACCTTTGATTATGAGTAAATAAAGCTGTTTTCCATTGATTTTGTTATTGGCAAAAACGATAAACAATATCTTATTACTAAAACAATTAAATTATTAAATCCACGTTGGTTAACCATATGTACTATATCAAAAAAAGTGATGATAAAGCAAGTTGATGATGATAAATAATAGAACACAAAATAAAAGTGAGAACAAAAAAGAAACAATCATGATACTGCAAGGTAATTCTTTTTCATTACGCCTGTCTTGACTCTCAATCAATAACAGAGAGAATTGAATACTAAATTGTTTAATAGTATATTAAGTATCAAATGGCTAAACGGAAGTTTTTGTCACAAGATTGATTTAGATTCTTACGCTATTTTTTTCTACTTACACTCTATTTTCATGTTGCCGATTTTATATTTAAACTTGTATATTTTAAATCTTCAAAATTCGCTCGTACACTACTGGGAAATGTAAGATTATAAATACACCTTGTACTGCACCAGAGGTTAATGCGCAAACGCAAGCTTCACCCCGTACCTAAAACCCGTGACTACAATACTTTAGTCACGTCTTTGACCGTCCATGTTTAAAGTACCATATTTTGTGTTTCAAAACCGTGAAACCGGCGTTTTAAAGATGGAACAAAGTAATTATTTTAAATCTATTTAAATACTACATTAAAATAAAGTTTTAATCAATAAAGTTTGATTTCAAACATTTGACGCTAATAATGTAATATTGAGTATGCTTTGTAACTGTAAATTGCAGTGTAACTCAATAACGCCAATTAATATCAAAGGACTCAGTATTTTCGTTTAATGCAACATGTAATCTATTCAAACTAATTGAAACATCATAGGTATTACGCCAACTTCAGAAACTATAAATTTTGTTACAGATTTACTAAAATTTAGCAAAATGTTTTTGTTAGTGATGTATACGTAGTTCCATACTTTTGGCATTTATAATCATGAATTACCAATTCGTTAATAATTAGTTAATAATTTAAGGAATATTATTCAATAGTCGGAAATCAAAACAGAAATAAGACTCGATTACAAAATCAAACTGATTAATGATTTGCTCCGGTACAAAGCAACAAACAACCATAGAATGAATAAATGTCAGTCTAGATTATACCTTCCATGCACCGACACATAAAACTTGCATTAGCTTCTGTCGGTTTGGTTTTATCAAATCCAATCAAAATTCAAAACATTTGCCTAGCTCAGTTTTGTCAAAGTTTATCCAAATATCCCACATGCTTTTCTTTGGTGGTATTAATTTTAAGCTTCCCAAGTTACTTATGACAATATTTTGTAAGTATACATATAGTACACAAACTTTCTTATAGGGAAATTTGAAGGATGCTACAATATTACAACTTCAAATAGATTTATGTAATAATAAAAATCCTCAAAAAATAAATATGTGTGAACATATTATTAAATGATTATTGCACATAAAACTGCAAAAGTTTATTACACCAATTATTTTAATTCTTATCACACATTTACTAGAATAATAACTACTAATACCTGTCTTTAGTAGCTAAACATTTAACACCATTAGCAAGCAATTTAATGAATTTTGTTTCACTGCCAAAAATCACAAATGTTTTGACATTTATTATAGTATCATTGAAGTAATTTAGTCCAAATGTAATTTTAAAGATTGTTGTCAAATTGCGTCACATTTTTATTCTTTTTTATTCATGTTATTATATGTCCCAATAATAATTCAAGTTTATAATAAATTTCTGCACCTTCACTTGGTTTATTCAATGTTTACCTACAAAGTTATAAGCAATTACTGATTCAAGTTACTCACTAGCTTTCGGAAATAATATATTTATAATATAAAGTAGAATTTAATAATAAATAGTTTAATAAAACAATTATTTATCTAGTATAATAACTACAAATCATTGTCGCATTGCGTTATGGCGCCGCGAGTGAAATAATAAGTTCAACACTGAAAATAAATAAATCCAACCCCAAAAAGTAATATAGCATTCATATAATTCAAATTCAAATTCAAATTCAATGTTGTTACAAAATTAATATGCAAAACGTTCATGCGAACTTTCAATTATGTCGAGTTTAAAATTTGTTTTAAATTATGTTTGCTGATAAATTCATTGCTATTGCAGTTTGCTAATTGATTTAGTATGCGAGTATGTAATATACCGGCCACCAGCACAACTTAATTAAGCGCGTGGAATGGAATATATCCGTAGAATTTATGCGCATGATTAAAAAAGAACACAATATGCTTACTCAATTTTTATTCGTTTCTTTCGTTCTTCCTTCATATTTCTTTTCCTTATCTTATAAAAACTTTTTTAGATATTATTATAAATTAAAGTTATATATTTTTTTAGTATACTTTTAAGTCTATTTTGGGATTAATGAAAATTGTTGATTTTTTTTCAGCGAACTGTAAAGGTAATTGCCGGCGTTTCGCCTCGCCAATTCATTTACCGCTCAATTGCGCTACACTACGATGCGCACGAAGTGCTCCTTCGGCCACTTCGACAATCTTTTAATTAAATACAGTTTCAATTTCATGCCGAACCCCAGTCACTGGCGATAGAGTGTTACAATCCAGTTAATTAAAATCGCCTTTTTTATAAATGCGCATGAAAAGTGCACATGAAGCACATAAGCATACAGAGATAACACGAATTACCTTTCTACATAATTGCATCCGCTATCCCTTTATCCTTCGCGCCATTAATAATCCATTTGTCGCGCAAAAGTGACCAAACTCACACTCGAGCAGCTGGTTAATATAAGTATATCCAACGTCAAGCAGTAAATATCTTCGCACTGCACTCACTGCTAAACACTTTTAAAAAACGAAGAAATATTTCCGATATGATGATATGAAGCGAGCGGCGAGATGATACTCTCAACGCGGTGTTTGCACCCGTGCACTCGTACACTACGCGCGTCCTAGTTTTACGTTTTTCCCGCTTTCCCGGCACACTTGCGAGCGACGACTGGACGTAGTAGCGTACGCCGACGTCGAGAAAAGCGAGCGAGAGCAGGAAAAGCGCGAGGCGCGCGCTGTTAGAGTGGATGCCGCGCACGTACACGCTGTAGGGACATCAATACCACGGCGGGCGCCCTTCCCGGACCTGCTCGGCCGCCGCCGCCGCCGCCGCCGCCTCTACCGCAGATCGAATACGACGGGGCGGCTCGCTGATCCCGCGCCCCGTGCAACATCCACATCATTCTCTCGTTGAACACTACTCCTACTTTGCTTTGCATTTTACATTTCCGAGCATTGCGGATTGTATTCGAGTATTTGGCGCGTGCGTTTTCTGCATGATTGACACTTTCAACACTTTGCTTTGATTCTAAACTGTTAAGGCTTAAACTTGTCATCATAAATCTAAATTCTCAAATAATCTGCGATTAAATTGAAAATCACATAATTTATTAATTTATTTCTTTTCACTATTTTGACAGTTAATGACATTATTGCAATGTAATGACATCTTAGAAGATTTTTCATTCATAGAATAATTTTTTCCTACTTTTTTGTTGCTTTGTTTCGTTTTCGGCAATTAAAAAATCTTCAAAATGCGAATCCCACACATAATAAATAAAAACACCCTCGTGGCGTACAATCCGTCGGCCGTGACTCTTTCCCTGCTCCACGAGCAGAACCGGCAACTACTCTCGGAGGATTTAATGCGCAAGGACCTACCGCCGACCCTGGTCTCACTCTGTGTAATGGCCATTGCCAAGAATTTCGAAGCATGTCCGATCATCAACGAGCTCGTGCTCTGCGCCGACCGTGATTTCTTGCTGGAGATACTACCGACCGATCTCCCTCTGTCACTCGTGGTGCCTATAATTGAAGTGAGTCAATCGGTGGTAAAAAAAACTACAGGTTGAAAAGATAAATTAAGAAACACTTGAATGCCTATTCTCATTTAGAAAACAAGATAATCACTATTTTCCTAGGTTTATATTGATGCTTCCTCAAAGAAAAAACTTCGAAATTGAGTTAAAAATATAAAAAATGAATGTTTTGGTAGTAAGAATATACATTATGTGCGTTGAGAGATTAAACATATGCCTTGACCTAAACAAACTTGTTAGCAATTACCTGTTGCGTGAAAATGTCGATTGTTTGGTGTTTGTCACGACAGTTTAGCACTAATCCATTATTTGTTTCCACTTCTAATCTTGATTAATATCTGTTTACTCACGGAAAAACAAGCAAAACAAATCACAAATATTTACACATTCACATTCTTCTAACTTCAGGATGAAATATATTGGATGCGACGGTACACAAACAAGTACGGTGTTATGGCGCAACACTGTCACGTGGGTTGGACGTGGAAATGCATATTTCTCGAGAATCACATTCAGGAATTAATCGAAACGGCGCAACCAGAGTACAACGATGAAGAAAACTTGGAAGAAATTACCAACCTAACAAACCTGTATGTTCATCGACTGGTAATCTCCCAATTACAAGCGTGGAAGTCCCCATTAACAATGGACGCTGATGAAATACCCGAAATTCTTCCCTGTGATCACATTAACCTTGAACCAATTTTCCGACGATTGCAAAACGTGCAGGAACTTGTTATCAAATTCGGTATGAATAATGTGGGCGAAAGTTTCCAGTGGAATATGTTTAGAGTATCGATTGACGACGCAAAACATTTGGCAGCCGCGATTGTAAATCTTAAAACGCTCCGGGTGCTCGATTTACACGCTTCAAACATTGAAGATAAACATCTGCAAATTTTAGCGCAGGAGTTAATCAAAGTAGACACCTTGGAGGAACTGAGTATGAAGAATTGTTTGATTGAAGACCAGGGTGCATTATGCATAGCAAAAGTAATGTTGACGCATCCGACACTGCAGAAACTTATCTTGGCGAATAATAAAATCGGTGGACGCGGTGGTGAAGGCATTGGATATGCACTTACGAAAGACACGTGTTGCCCGATGAGACATTTGGATTTGCGATTGAACCCACTTGGTCATATTGGCGTGATGGGTTTGTTTCGAGCGCTTGTTCGAGTCCAAAAGGTGGAAGAACTTATTATTAGTGGGGTTGGTTTTGGTGATGAGACGGGTATAAGACTTGGGGCTGTAATACAACTGAATTCCGCTTTAAAATTGCTGGATGTTAGTAATAATTGGTGTAAACCTGGTGAGAAAGTAAGTATTTTCAAGGTTAATTTAGGTTAAGTTACTTTAATTCATATATCCAAGTCTTAAAAGCAACTGATTTTATTTTTAGGAAATATGCAACGCAATATTAACTAATTCAACGCTCCAATGGTTGGATATTAGAGAAACAGATATATCTGAACCTTACTATGGTAGTATTATGAGGAGACTTAAAAAGAACCGCAAAAATGATCCGAATGCCGAAGAGGAAGAAGAAGAGGCGGGAGAAGAAGAAGAATTAATGTATGAAGCAGAATATTTTAATGAAGCATATGAAGGTGAAGGCGAAGAGGGTACGTACTTCTTACATGTTGAAGAAGAACAAGAAGAAGAAAGCGACCTTGAAGTAGAAGATGCTGTCGATACATCAATTGCATCGTAAATTCACGCAAATCAGTTGTTTGAAAATCGCCCCGAGAAGCGGCATTTAAATTAAAATCATTTCATTCACAATACCAACCACATTTGCATACATACCTATAATCTGCATTGTTTACGCGAATATGATTATTGGATTCCACAAATTATAAGTATGTATATATACACTACATATATTGCATTAATACGTTGATGGGAAGCGTTGATGTTAACAAGTGATCCCTTTGTGAGGCATTATTATCAGAATTATGCCCGTGTTCAGTACGGCTGAAAGCGAGAACAACTTCTGGGAATACAAATCGTCCCACTATAGCGTTGCAATATTAATCCAATTATTTGAACTTTACCCCACGCATGCCCCAATTAAATTTAAACGAGAAATACCTGTTTGTCGCCAACGTTCTTCGTACTGGTTAGGCTACACTTATTAACTGAAATGACATGAATGTCTGATTATACTTTACTTACTCCTTACTTGCTTGCCACAAACACGATTGCAACTTATAACTATATCAATGATGATAAGCATGTAAAGTGTGAATGCAAATTTATGCGTCAAACGGCCATCTTTGAAATTAAACCACGATATAGCAAGTTATGTTCAAATTAGGCTCCCATTGATACACACACCGCCATCTATGAACAAACACATACATTAATCAAAATAACGTTTATTTTTGTCAGTCTTCGGCGGATTGAACATGAAAACGCAAAAATAAAACGATGGAGAACTATAAACACAACACATAGCTTGTATCAACTGTATCATAATTGGCAAATGCATAAAATATAAATTATAAACATAATACGTAAATATAAATAAAAATAAATGTAGTACAACACTTTAGATTTCATAAAAGTCGAAATTCGCTTAAGACTAGTAGAAATTACTTTGATATCTTGAAAAAAAAAATAGAGAACAAATTACAGAACAATCGTGTAAATAAAATGTCTATGAGTGAAAGCTATGTCATACAAAGAACAATATTGCTTAAGAAAATTTCACTACAATACAATATAAGTTTAATTTGATTAATCATTTTGGCTCCTAATAAACTTTTAATTTTAATAAGTAAAAATTAAATCATGCCGGCTCAGTTAATGCCTTGTGTGTGAAGATGTGCAACGGTTAATATAATACTCACAGTTCATAGCAAAATATGGCACAAAAAGTTGTGTCAAAGTGAGATCTGTATAATGTCTTGTATAAAAAAAAGTGCCCACGCGAATTGACACCGACAAAGTTCACCTAATTTACGTCTTCAGAACTTTGTTCTACGTTAGTTGCATGGGCATTAGAGTATCAAAAGTCTTAAAGTAGTTCGTTGTAAGATTCCTGGCAATAGAGAGATCAGAATTGATTGCGATTGGCAGATTAATGTGATTGTCATATGAGATGGCATTAAATGAGCCGGCGTGTTGCACCAACCAACATCATGAGCGTTTTGCACGAGTCTAACTTCTTACGTTTCAATTCGTAAATTACGAATACGTAATTGCGACGAGTACAATTACTCGCATCTTACAAAAACTGGTAAGAGATTGCCCTACAGCTAAACAAATTATCTAAATAAATGTATATAAAAATTTTGTTCGTTATCGTTACGCATTTATAACTACACTTGAGTGCCGTTTTGTGATTGGGTGACGTCACAGCCTGTTTGTCAATATTCGAAAATATAGCATTTTCTATATCATTTAAAGTTTAAAACGAAATTAGATCAAAATTTTATCACGTTCGTTAATCAATCACAAAAGTTATTGCACTGGAGCTACGCTCCGCAGAACTCGGATGCGTCATACATTGCTCTGACTCGACTCTTGTGCGTTTCGCTACACGTACGGCGATTCGAGGGTGCAAGGATCCTCGATCATGCGCAAGTTATACAAATTACCTAAGTTGTCGATACTCAGAAACGCGCGGAAGCCATCAGCGCAGGCGATGTGCGATGCTGACTGGCCATGCAACTTGATTGCCGCCAGCAAATACTCTTTATCAGAGCGACCTCGCTTTGTCCACATCACCACATCGGAGAGGTCTATATCGGCCAGCAGGTTCTCTAATGGCGGTGGTTTTTTACCTGGCGATTTGCCGGAGTTGGAACGTGAGCGGAAGGAACGTCGCGGTGGATTTTGCGCTAACTCCCTGGCAGCCAGATTCACGTTCCACCAAGCCATCTGCTCAGCAAGTGAGAGCAGAATTGGAACCTCATGGGAGAATTTCAAAAAGTGCACAGGCGACTTGTGCAGTTTGAGAATCGATGAGAGTGCCAAACGCTCCGTGTCAAACACCTGACAAATCACACAAAATTTATCTTTTGATTCGGGAATAGTGAAAAATATAGTACATTCTTACCTCAATGTCTCCGGTTTCAGTGCCAAGTGCTAAATATTTGCCGTCGCTCGAAAAACAGCATGAAGTAACCGGCTCCTGAGTTTTCCTTTCGAAGCAACTGCTAATTTTAAGTTGAGTTTCCATCGTCGTATCAAAATGTATAACCTTGAAGGATTTCTCGAAGGTAACACACAATTTTTCATCTCCAAATACGCATGCAACTCTAAAGTTGGATTCAACTTGCGCGGCCGCATAGAGGACCTCCTCGGTGAGAAACCAATAATTCCAATAGGAAATTTTCCTTTGCGACACCACCAGAAGTTTCTTGAGCACATTGAAACTGCAGCAAATATCGTCACGCCAACCAGGCCGGGATTCATCTCGCAATTTATGCGCGGAATCTGTATAAACAAACAAAACACCGCTCGCAGTCGCAGCCACGACCATATTGTCCAAAGCCTCCAGGTAGGAAATTTCATTTTTAAGTTTCATTATTGTCGATGTGCCCCAATTATGACATACGTGCACACTGCCATTCTTGTCCGCACAGACAAACGAATTTTTAAAGTTTACAACTTTAACAACATCGCAGACAGTTTCCACCTCAAATGTATCATTAGAATCGGAAATAGTTAACTTATTTTGTCGGATCATCGCTGTGGCAAATTTCTTGCAATCGGACTGCCAATACGCCGCAAAAGCATCCACATTTTGAGCCTCTTGAATCGCAGTTTCTTCTGGATTAACATGCCAAAGCTTCAGACTTCTATCATGATATCCAGTAAGCAAAATCTCGATTGTATGATCATTACTGTTAGTCATCGTATCCAAGCAAATCACGCGACCATACTGGGTGTCAAACTTTGCAACAATCTTGTTCACATTGAAACCCCACATGTAAATCTTATTTTCGGTTGATCCAATCACTAAATATTGGTCTGTCATGGAGCTACATGTATATTCACCTGTAGTTGTCATGATTATTGTTTTCTTCAGAGATTTAATATTGTGGATGATGACTTGCTTCAACATAACGACGATTACTTCATCCACATTGTCGTTGCCATTGTCGGAAGGCAACGTATGTAATGTTATGATATCTCCACCGCTGGTGCCGAAGCAAGACTTTGATCTGAATTTAAATCCTTGTTGCGTCTTGGAATAAACCACCACATCCGTCTTCAGAGCGGCGTAGATATAGTTGAAATCGTTTGAAAACAGCACTGCGGTGATGGGATGACTAAGATCCTCTTCGAGTGTTTGATTCTTCTCGTCCCACAGCATTAGCTTTCCGTTCCTCGATCCTGCGACCAGCAGGTCATGGCTAAAGTCCGCGGAGATAAGCTTATCGTCCTTCGCGGCTTCGTAGGTCACATAGTTGTCAGTAGCAAAATTGTTACCGAAAAAATTCTGGTGATTCCTTTGCTTAACATGCGCTGGCGATGGAAGATTTGCATTATCGTTATAAGTGTTATACACAGCGCTATTGCGACGCGAGTTGTAGTCTAACTTCCATACATTAAGGATGCCATCGTCCGAAATTGAAAGAAACTTGTTTTCCGCTGCGCGAATATAGGTTATTCGACTTATATGGCCTTTGAATTCCTGTAGCACATTTTCATACTTCGGTTCCAATAACTAAACAATTAAATATTCAGTTTATGTTAAATTAGATATTAACTATAAATACTATACCAAAATGTCACCCTCCTCCGTCCCAACTAGTAGATAGGCAGGATCGTCATAGGTGAAGCAAGCAACCTCCAACTTTACTTTGATTGGCAAGTTGTGAATGTAATACGTGTTCTTTTTCGGCAATCTATGAAAAAATATATATATAGTTGTCAAATTGGTGATACTACTTTAAGATACTTACAACCAATCAAAATATAAACCAAACTGATCGGAAGTTTTTAACTCCTGAAGAGCCAGTCTATGCACCAAGTTCTCTTTCGGCAGTTGCAGCGCGCTCTGCAAAATGCTGGTATGGGGATAATTCTCTAAATTCATACCAAACCGTTCGACGAAGGCTCTTAACTCGCCGAGCATCATCTCATGCTTCTCATCCTGTCGGGTAATCTGATCAAAGTAGATCTCAAAATCAAGCAGCATGTCTCTGATACCAGCAGCGCGAATCTTCGCCTCAATAAATTTCAAATCGCGGTAGATTTTGAAGTCGTCGAGAAGCCCTGCCTCTTGCAAATGGTAACCAATATATTGGTAAATGTAATTGTCGTTGACGAACTTATGATAGTGCGTGTATTTATCCTTGTAAGCCTGAATCAAATTCGCGTGCAATAGTTTCAACGAGGAACGCTCGTAGTGCATCCGAAGATAATTTAAGTAATTGTGGTTGACGCCGTACACGTCCGTGTCGTGTTGCTCATTGTACCCGCTCACCGCAAACGACATGTTGCACAAATTCTTCATTACCTTCTCCACCTGTACCTCAACTATTCCCCACAGAAGTGATAAGACATGCGGAGTTATGTTGACGTCATTGACGAAAACTGCTAAATTCTTATATCGATCCAACATTTCAGTGTCTAGGCTTCTCAGACGCATTTCTATCGTCGTGTTGCGTTTCGTTGTCACTCTGAAATGATATAAATGATAAATCTTAAACAAATATTCATGCGAACAATAAACCTACTCTGAATTGTTCTTGCAGAGCTCCTGTCTGAATCGTTCCCAGACTCTGTCACTGTTTGCCCTGTTAGTCAAACTCGACTTGCGTTCAACCATTAATTTCGCGCACAAAATCGTAGTCGTCAGGTCTCCACGACACCACTCGATGATAGCACTTAGGTGTTCATTATACGCCAAACCCGCCATATCGCCGTACGTCGTACCCAACGCCATGCAAAACACTTCCATCGTCTCGCGAGTCGTGAAAGCGTCCTGCAGCGGCATGTGTCTCACGTGATCCAAAACAAAACGCTCTCTCGACACAATGACCATCCTGCACACCCCAAAGTATTCGATTACTTTCTGCATGGCGTCGTTGACGTCCACATTGTCCAAGACAATGATCGCCTTGTCATAGCCGCTGCGCGTGAACACATTTTGCAAGCGCACCTTCATCAACTCAACGTTCGCAGGCATCTCCGTAGGTAAGTCGGATAGTGTAACGTCATCAATCTGTATCTTGTGGAATAATTTGTACATCCGATCGAGCAGCTCGCCCTCGGTGTAACGCTTCAGGTCGATCCAGTAGACTTTATAATTCGCTTGCGCGAGGATGTCCGGTTCTCGTAGGCACGCAGCTATTAGATTTGTCTTTCCAATGCCGTCCATCCCGAAGATATTGATTGCCCAGTTGGACATGTCAGATACGAGCGATTTTATTTTCTGCATCTAAAGATATTTATAACAATATAAGAAAATAGTTAATTAGAGTTTTAATAAAGTATTGTTTAACATCGATAAATTGTGAGGGAATAGTTCAATAAAATAATTATGTATATCTATGGCAAAGCACATAATATAAACTACACGCAAAGTGTGAAAAGTTATTTGTATGGTTGTTTTTGAATAGTGCCTGTGTGCGAAACATCAATAATATATCAATAACTAAGTGATAATTCAAATGAAAGTAAATAATTACACTATCATGAATTAATCCGTTTACTTGCATCGCAAATGATAATCGTGAAGTATGCTTATCTTAAACAAACACACATGATTCACAATCAAGTTCAAATGCACCAAGTCTGAATAGAAATCATTGATTGTCAGCGATGCACTTAAATGCATTTCGCCTAAAATTAAATCAAGAAATCAAGAAAACAAGAGAGTAAACGTCGTGTGAGTCGATAGTTGTGTATCATGGTCTCTTCAATTGGTAAACTCTTGGCGTGTGTGTATTGAGTCATCTCGTAAAGTTTACTACGCACAACTCGCACAATCCAACGTCATACGAGTTTCCGTTTGATAAAGCGAGACCTCGAGTGGAGCGCGCACGAAGTGCAGGTGCACGCTGCATTTTCCGCGCGCGCTCACCTCCCGCCCGCCGCATCGACAGTTGTGTGTGCGCCTCTCGCTCGTGCAACCTGTGGACAGACGTGTCCGAACCTGTTTCCACTCGCGGCCACGCTGTTACGTCACGATTGTGCACAACAAAAAGAAAAGAAAAACCAAAACACACGACGCACGCACGCAAACGCACCGAATCAAACACACATCAAAACTCAACAGCAACACATTTCGGACGGTTTGCAACAAGTTGACTCACTTCAACCCTACGTGTGAGAAGCGAAAACACTCACCACAATCCTCCACTTCTATCCGTACGCAATCGCAATCAGTTGGAGAAACAAAACAATTAGAACATGTTTAATTTTGTTTGAATTCAAATGTGTGGCGGACACCCGGCAATAAAATTCGTTTTAAGTTTCGTTTCACTCACCATGCTCTGTCGCTGAATGTAGAACATAGGTTCCATAGGAACATTGCCGTACTTGAGGGCTTTTTCAATTGCGCGTTGCTTTGCCTGATGCTCCCGCTCCTGATTTGTATATTTATCATAGAGCCATCGCAACGAATCTTTCTTGACGTACGCGATAAGAATGTCGTACCCATCGTGTTTTCCTCCGAGCATCTCACCCAGTTGTAAAAAGAGTGATATTACATTCTAAATTGGATTCGAGATTATTTACGATTAATACATTTGCAGCGAAACAAAAACAAATAATATATGAGTCATACAAGTGTGATGACAATGAACTACGAATTGAATCCTACCTGATTAACGAGATGGTAGTGGTTAGGTGAGATGTCGACGTTTTTCGTCTTGAGGTAATCCAGCAGACTGTTGATGCTCGTGTTCAGCGTTAAACTCTCCTGGAGCTCGGGCCACAGCTCGCGGAAGAGCTGCTGCTGGACGACGTCCATTTTCAGCACGCGTCGAATATGTTTAATGAATGTATTAAATTCGCTACTTGACAATAGTTGAAGACTTTTGGTGTTGGCGTAATACCATGGGCATGGTTTCGCGGACGATTAGCGGTTGGCACGAGACAATTATTACCGACAAAAACAACCGAATACACAACCGTTGTTACCAGTGTAGTAGTATTATTTGTTAACGTAAACTACAATGCTAGAGTACTAGAGGCACTAGAGCACTTGTGCTCACTAACTAACGCGCTAGCACTACGAGCCTCGAAATAAAACGAACGACGCTACCGCGCCACCGCGAGTCCTGCACTACAATGTGTGCTCGGGGAAGGTGTCCGACAAGCGCGTCGCGCCTACAGCAGCGCGATGCGTACCGCGAACGTAAACACAGCCAGCATTGACAGCTTCAGTTGGTGGCGCCATCTTCAACGTTTTCTTCTAGAATTCTAAAAGCCAACTGGAGTTCTGTGCCATAAAATGTGATTTGCACGCAGGTAAATAAGTGTTTATATCTTGTAAATTTGATCATGTATTCACTATTGTTGTGGCTTTGAGGGCGCCTGAATTGTTCTATTTTCACTTGCGCCACCCTTCTTAATTTTTTCCTTCCTAATTTCGAAAATCTGTAACGGTTTTTACCAATTTTTCCAATATTTACCTTTTACCTGATAAAATCGAAACAATGCGCAATTTAAATGTATAATATTTATTCAATAATGTACCACAAAGACATATTGGTCCTAAATGGAAATATAACAGGAGTAAATGTTTAGTTAATACGTAAACAGAAAAATAAAATAACACACTTAAAACATAAATTACAAACAGGGATTACATCTATAAAAACAATTAACACACAATTGCCATTGAACATGGCGTTCTAGTTTAAATACAGTATACAGCAGCCAACCGCGAGGAAACAAATCGATTTAAAATCATTCAACGGCACACCACCATTATTTAATTACAAATAGGTGAATGTGTGACTAGTTTAAAATGATTAAAATTGCACGCTAAAATCGCTTGTATCCTCCACACAACTCTACGGCAATGAGGGGCTCACCAATATACCAACACATAAAACGCTAATAACGCTAACGTCAACATACACAAAGGGAGGTGATATTTATATATCTCGTCCGGGTTTGGATGGGGCGGTGTAACAAACAAATCCGGTGCTCGGCACAAACAACAGCCTAAAAAAGTTGCAACTTTTTAATCAATTTTCATCAAAAATTTTATCAAAACTCTATAATATATATTATAACATAATAATATACGTTGTATGTGTGTGTAAATTCACCGGAGCGGGCGTTTAAGTTTCTTTCCGTACGTACATCGTGAAACGTATATAATTTTTTTGTATTTTTAAAAGATTTTTTTAGGTTTTTTGAAAAAAAAAAAGAATTAAACAATAACAAACTAGCAGTTAAGAATGATTATGAATTACGCATTTAAGAATTATTTAAGAACAATCAATATTTGTATTAATAATTGTCTGATTGTCGACGATCATGACTGCGGAATCAAATTTCAACAAATAAAAGTCTGCATCGAGACAATCAGTTTCAATTTAATATGTTCGCCAGTCGGAAACATAAGATATAATAGAAACGTAATTCGTGTGCAAGAGTAAGTAATTGAGCGTCGTTCTAACTAATAAATCTAACGTCGCCATTTATAAGAAATTATCTGACAAACTGATTCATCAAATTCAATTAGATCAACATAATCAACACTTAGTTAGTTAAAAAAATTACGAAATTGAAGCAAATATCAAAATCTCTGCCTTCTCCCATTAATTAATAAGATTAATAATTAAGTTGTAACATCAATAAGAAAAACTTGGGGTAGAATGAGACATCAGCCTCAAACAACCAACACTTAAAATCTAGAAAAGCCCAACTATGCGCAAATTTTGTTGCTGTTGTAACTTGTAACTTTCAAATCTAAATTGATATACACGCGCCCCGTTGTACGAATGTCCCCCAACTCTACCTTTCAGGTAAGCATTAAGATTTCGAACTTTTATAGTAATTTCACATAAAAACCAATATTGGTAACTAGAAAATTGTACCAAACTAACAACACAACTGCTTCTCAAAGAAGAAAAATAACTAACCAACAATTAACAAGTCATAATTAGAATTAACGCGAAACGTACGTACGCAAAATGTTCTACAATTAGTGTGGCAGGTTGCGCGAACCTTGTTGAGTGAGAGATCAAAGCTTTAAAAACGCCCGTTTGTGGTTTGTGAATCTGAGAGTGGTGTAAGATGATAGTGGTGGTGTACAAGGGTAAGTTTGCTTACTCGCTGCGCACCTCAATTGTAATGCGACTCGTTGCACAAGCCGAGAATGGTCGAATTCTTCGAGTTGCGCATCAACGGTTTGTGCTGCCTGTATTCGAGGTTATGTTGCCAAGTCCAGCAGGCACGGCAGAAGTATCGGAAGCACGTTAGTTCTCGACAGAAGTACGGTCCCTGCTGAACACCGCAAATCGAGCAGAGCGAGTCCTCCAAGTATGGATCCACTTGAACCTTAATTTTTAAACATTACAATTATATAAGTTGTTTTATTGAAGGTTATGTATTCATTCATACCTTTTTGGTAAACTTGCCAGTCTTGATTTCGATGAACGCCGCCGCAACCGCCTTCATATAGGAGCGACTGTTGTTGAATGTAACACGGCCCGATCCAATGGGATACTTGTACTTGTCGGTATCGATGCCAGCGTAGACCACACCGTCAAATAGATCGTTCATAATCCTGGCGAGGCCTTCAGCGTTCAGCATACCGTGCAGCGCACCCACAAAGACAGTGCGACTGGGATCCAGTTTCTGCGATGTCGATTTCGTGTAGTTGGAATCGTTGAGTATCCAAGGAATCACTTGGACTTCCTTGGCGCGCATGCGCTTCGACGACATCTTGTAATACCAATTGTCCGGTTTGTTAAAGTCACTTGTGCATGCCTGCAGCAGAGACTTGACATCCTTCTCCGATTCAAAGATGACATACACATAGCCTTTTGGTTGGGTCGCCTGCTTATCCTTACCGGGCCACTCTACACGTATGGGCCCGAAGGGTTTGAATGTCTGCACAAGCAGTTGTTCAGAGATGTCCCACGGTACGCCGCCCAAAAACACCTTCGAGGAAAAGCCAGTCGGCTTCACCTTGCGTTCGGGAAGAATACCGCTCCAGGTGCAGGTAGCATCGTAAACGGTCGCAGCGCTGCGATGGAAGCGCGCAGCTCGGTCCAACTGTGAGTTCTCGCTGTTCAAACTGTTGCCGCCCCACTTGAGAGTCACCTGCTGATACAAAGCACACCAGGATTCAGGTTAAACCAAGTTTAAAATACGAAAAGTAAAAAAGTTCTTACATTCGACGAGTTAAGCGAACAGGCGGAGCTAGACAGCAAAGATGGCGACGACTGCTGCAGGTAATTGCACGCGTGGTTCGCTTGTAAATTTTGCAAATTTACCATGTCCACGTTACTATTCAGGCATGAACGGGCAAAACTTTCGTTCAACGTCAATGAATTCTGAAAACAATTCAATCATGATAAATCAAAATGGCGGCCATGCGCACGACGCACTAACCAAAATTTCTGTTAGGCTGCCATCTGGACTCGAGACGGCACTGTTATCAGAATCCGTTCCAAAACTGAGATTCCCACCATAATAGGAATCGAATACGCTCGGACTGTTGCTGCCACTGCTGTCGCTACGCACATCAAGCAAATTAAGATAACATATTTAAAATTGTACTCATTTACTCACCTCAATGAGTTGCTGGTGCTCCTCAGTGATTTGTACGATGAAGCTGAAGAGTCACTAAGCAACGAAGTAAAATAAAAAATGGCGTAAAAAATTTCATTTCCGTCGTATTTTTAGGTTACCTGATAGATTTGTGTTGATTGGCATTGTTGGGCGCCATCGGATGCCGCTTTGTGGACGACGACGAGGCAGCAGACGCATAGTTAAATGATTTGTCGTCATATTTAAACTGTAGAAGCGCACAACACGCAAGAATTTAAGACTAGTAAAAATCAAAATGGCCACCAAAGCACGTGTGGCAGGAAAATGCACAATTTTTACCTGAAAACCTCCGTTAGGCGTGCTGGTCAACATGGGCGATGTTGGAAACTCGCCGCCCTCATTACCAAAGCCGCCGGCCAGCAGTCCACGCGGCGAATTAAGCCCGAGCAATTCTGAAATCGACATGGTGTCGCTCGCCATTATCATCAGATTCGAAAAAAATGGAAAATCGCGCTTATCGTGCGATTATGCACCGCGTGTCGACAAACCGAAGTCAATCAAACGGGAAACAGAAAAAGGCACACCGCACTTATAGTCTTAAACACGAAGTCCGCAACGTGCTCTTTTTATATTTAAAAATGGCGATCGAGCGATTTATGAAACGAATGCACTTTTGTCAATTGTTCATTTACGATTGACCGGATGGTAGCGACCGGCGCGTGGTATCGGTGGTATCACCCCCAATCAAATTTCGTTCGATGCGCGTTTGACGATGCGCGAATTGCCGAATTCGCGGACACGCACGCGTCGAGCGCTCGCCGCTACAGACAGACTGAGCCTTTCCAAATTACGCACAGCCGTCGTCGCTCCAATTAATCAACTCAATTATATCACACCTCGCGACGTAATCGAAAATCATCCAAAAATTACGGGGCGGCCACCTGAGCGTGCAATTTTTATGTAATAAGTAATAATGTTATAATTTAACTTGGCCGATTCGAAAGTGCTTTCAAAACTTAATCCAACCAAACACACATATTAACACAACAATACCGTAGGTTATATAGGTTTAGAGCCACCCGACGACTTTGTTATTCAAATAGTTACAGTAAATACCTATCTTCTGCGTTTTGTTCCTGTGCAGAATCCCTCTGGCAATGAGTGAGTTAATCGAGTGGTTCTGCAGCACCTCCCTGAAGTCAGGTACCTTGTTCCGGGCGCATCTACCCTGTGCGTGTAGGGAACTGCAGTTGAACACGTTGCATTCGTCATCCTGAAACATGACGAAATGGTGTGGGTCCGGCGTGCGGATCATCTTGAGCGGTTGCATCGCCAGGGTGTGGGTGGTCCGCGATTAATGTCGCGTATGGATGCGATTATCTACGACGCGCAATTGGCCTAGTCAAAACGCGGCGCTTTTCCAGATTGTCTGGCTCGATAGTTGTCTCATTGCCAAATAGTCCGCAACAGTTCGAAGACGATGGGCAATGATAATCCGTCGCCGGGGGCAAACCGGCAATAATAAACACAATAAACGAGACGCAACAAAATTCGGACGCGGGTTGAGGGTGTCGCCGGCAACAAATCTAATAAATTCGCGTAATGAGACGGAAGTCTACTGATCGGCAAATGTTTACTAGCGTCTTTTGATTATTTTTTCTCTGCGTATGCTTTCCGATATTTGCCTTCTCATCGCCAACTGTGCGATTCAAATTTACAAAAAAAAAACATGGCGGAAAACAAGTACCAAACGTTTGTTTGGAATTTTGCGTTATCCGTATTATTCTATACAATATTTAATAGAAACATTGATTGCATTCCATTGGTTTGTTTTAGTTATAAAGTGAAATTTACTTTGCTGTTTCAAAACATTGTGACTGGTCAAAAAAAGAAAAGGGAACATGTACTCAACACATTGTTTTCGTTACTTCGTTTGCCAAATATCGCACGCACACAAATTTAAACGATTACAGCCCGTGTGCACGGTGTTGGTAATTGTACCGTGACTAATAAATTAATTTATTATAAACAATCGTGCAGTACCTGCTTTGGTGTCGTCATTGTTTCAAAGTTAGTTGCTTGTCGGCTATCAAATTGGTCAATTGCACGCGTAGCGATTGTGTCGAAGGCGTACGTTATCTCGCAGCAAATCGTCGTCGCGCAGGAATAAACACCAACCGTCCGGCGGTATCACGTCAACAATGCAAAAGATGTTGGCCGCGAAGCGAAAAGATTCAAAGAGACGTGCGGGGGATGCAAATCTCGTCAATAAAACGCATGCGCTTGCAATTGGAATGTCCCGACTGGCAAGCGTACGATTGGACACTGATAAGAGTTGCGTATAGATAAACAAAATAACGAATAAGAATACATTTTAAAGTAAACATAGTTGTAACAAAAATGCAAGCTGCGCAAAGTGATACAATTTTTAACTTGAGTTTTGTTAGGAATCGGAATAAAACAGGAATTGACTCAAAATTTACAATTCTGTCCATGTTAAGATTTTCATAATTTATGTTTTATAGCCCAAGTTTTATTCAATCAATCGTCAATTACCAAGAATGGCATTATGAGTAATCAAGGTACCTAAATAATGCACAACATAATAATGCGTCCCATATACAGTTTTTATTTATTTGATTTAATACGAAAATAATAAATAACTAAGTTGAATAATACCCCCTTATGTAAATTATTCCATTTCAAACTCGTTGGACTCGTTTGGTGAACATGGTACCTCGTCAGATGGATTGGATTCGCTTGAAAATGAAGGTATACCATCCGGGGCTCCCGGGTAAGGCGGTTGTTCTTCACAGAGCTGTTCAATAACAAGACCAAGCATCGTCGTGCTGAACGTGTCGTCCCGCCGTAATCCTAACGCACGGTGGAACCAATCGGCTGCTTCCTCCAGGTTATTCATTAATGCATGCACGTACGCGATGTCTGAGTAAATGTTGGAGTTTTGCGGAGTCAAAACCAATGCCTGAATGTAACAATATAAAAACATTTTCTGCGCATTTTATTTATAATTTACTAACCTTATGATGATGCTGTAGCGCTTGCTTGTAATTTTTCTGTTTCCTCAACGTGTGCCCCAAGTTGTTATGCAGTGGTGCCCATTGTTCAGGCATTAATGTGCATTTTCGGCTTTTGATTATTTTTAATGCAGCGCGGTAATAAGTTTCAGCTAAATGGTAACTAAAACATCCATTATTACTAAATAAAAATTTTAATCAAATATGTTTTCATACTCTTGATTGTGAAACGCAATTACACCGCGCTCATGCAAGACAAACGGATCATCTGGTGCGATTTTGTTTGCTTGTTTGAAGAATTTCTCCGCTAATCGGATGTTGTTCGTAAGGCCACACTCCAGACCAATGTACATCAGCGGTAGGTGACAGCCCTTCATTAACTGCGAAGCCTTGAAGTAAGCCGCCATTGCTTGATCGTGTTCGTTTTCAATTGCAAATGAGTGCCCATACGCTAACCATGCCGGACCAAAGAGACGATCTAAGCTTGTCGCTTTCGCCAAGTAACGCCGTGCAGCGTCGCATTTGTCTATTATGTAATAGTAACAACCGACGGCGTACCAAGAGATTGCCAAACTCGGATATAACTCGACCAATTTGTGTGCCAATGTGAATAGTTCTGTGAGAAAACAATTATGCTTTATATCATTTTCGCGCATTACAACTATTTTTATAAATTGCTCGTGCGAACTTTCCTCTAGTCATCTAACCTCAAAACACCTTTCCTTAACCTAAGTTATTGTATGCACAAAAACAGTTATTTTACATAATTTTTACCTCTATCCTAGTCCAAAATTTGGAAGATATCTGATAATCAAATAGCAACCGACAAAACAGTACAAAATAACTCACTATTGCTTTGTTTAAGTTCCACCAAACAAGATATATGTATCGGCAGACATGCGCTATGGTATGGATCTTGCTTGAGAATGTTTTCTGTAAGCGTAATGCACTTTTGATAGTCGCAATTGTAATATAATTGCTCGGCCTTTGAGACAACCATGTCCAAACTGTCCTGAAGACGTTGTATCACCATTGTATTACTGATAGCGTAGTCCATTGGTTTAACATCGGGAGTTGAATTTACCGGATTTGCTATCTTCGCCGAGCTGGTAACTTCATCAACGTCAAACATGTTCGTTGTTTCACCGGCGGGCATGTGATACTTCTTCAATTTGCTTCTGTACAAAAGTAACACTACCTCCACTTCCTCGTGCGAACATTGCTGAGCAAACGGCAATGAATTTATCAATTCTTGTTCTGATCATACACACACAATTAGACATTATAAATGAAATTCGTTTTTAAAATTTAATTCAACACACACTGACCTTCTTCAGCTGTCAGCATGTGATGTTGTGTCAAACATTCAAATGCTTCATAACAGTAAACATCACATTGTAATGCTTTGCGATAGAATTCAGCAGCTAGACCTCGATTATCCATTGCTTCTAAAACTTTACCTTTGAGGAGGAAAACCGCCGATTGCATTTGCTAAATAAAACAAATTAACTAAAAACGAAGTTTACATTAGCTTTAAAGGTAACATACACATTTGGGTGTGTCATCAAATAACAATCCATTATCTACTGATGGAATAGTGCAATTGCTTTGTGTTTGCACAAATGCATCAATATCAAGCAAGTTAATAACTTTCAGGGCTTCATTATACTCATGTGCTTCCAGCAGACATCTCACAACTAAATTATTGCATGGAACGTAAGTCTAAAAATTCAAATAAAATGCAAACATTTTGTGTAAATTTATATAATTTAAAAACCAACCTGATCTAAATTCTTCATACGCAATAAATGCGCCGCTCTGTGGTATTGCTTTAATTGATACATGCATTGTGCCAGCCAATAAACATCTTTACAGTTTGCATTAGTTAATGCAACAACTTTATCTGCCCAAAACAAGGCAGCTTCATACAGGTGCTACAAACAAAATTATAGGTTAATATTCTGCAAATTAATTAATTACTCGAAAACGCAACAAGATACAGTAATGATTCTCACGCCAATCTCTTCAATATTAATTCTTACATGTAACCCTAGGAATAATTATAAGAAAACATTGCGGCATGTAAAGTTGTACCTTGTAGAAAATATTATTTTCCAAGTGCTTCATAACTTACAAAAAATAAATAATTTCTTATTAAATTATTACACTAATGTAAAGCTAACTTATGCAGCAACTGAATCATTAAACATGCTTTGTCGTAGCATGTTACGTTTTCGTATTATTCATAATAAATTTTAAGATAATTCAACTTCAATCAGCCATACGCCGGAATACTACATAGGTATCATCCACGGGGAAATATTTACCAGATTTAAATATGTTTGAACAAGTTTTCGATAATTATCGATGTCCAAAGATCCACTGGTATTGAGATTCTTCATTTCGGAGTCGGTATCACTCGCCATTGTTAATTTAAATGAATGTTTTAATTTTAAACGCTACTTAACCGTCACAGTCAAAACAAAACACAGCCAACATTAGTTGGAAATTTGAGGTTATGTACAGTCGCAGATTTTAAAAAGAAGCGCGCCATTAATTTTGTTTTCCAGTAAAGATGGATCATCAAGATTTGATGATTGAAACAGAAGAACACGTTAAATTAATGCTTGAAAATAAACAACTGGAGGAACGCATAAAACTTCTTACAAATGGGCCACAAATTCGCTACCAACATCAAACAATGAAAGCATTGGCCAACAAACCATCAAATAGTGCTGCTACTTTACTGATTTACAAAACCCGAGCCGATATAACTCGGGCAAATTTAAAGGAAACCAAGGAAGTTTATATAGCAAATGTGGAAAAACGTAGTGAATTGCGAAAACGGTTTCACCAAAAATATAAATCAAAAATAGAGGATAGCAATAAATTTGCGGCAGAAAGTGATGAGTTTATCAAGCTGACTTCGCAGTTAGGTGAAGAGCGAGAAAAACTTGCCCAACTGAAAATAGAATTAGCAAGAGTTAAAGGAATTTTGGCCGCTAAAGAACTGGTTTGTAAAGCTATGGAACGTTAACTCAAAAGAAATCAAAAATGTATCTTTGGTGGTATATATTATAATGGATTTTTAAAAATAAACAACACATATTTAAGCCAAAAGTCTTTACTTTTTATATAACCTTAATTTTAAGCTATACAACAAATAAAATTTGGTATATTTGCCCTAAAAACACATAGATTACATGTGACAATTTAATTCAGTTTAAAATGTCAATTGCAATTTAATCGTTAATCAAACTGCCTTACTAAACGTATTTTGTGCTAAAGATTTGAGATTAAACGTTTATAAATCAGTTTAATAATCTCTTATATTTATTTATTTCTTCGTCAAAGTTAGCTAGAAATTTAAATTTTTGTTGTGGCGAATCGACTTACACATTAGGAAATAGTTCCGTCAACTTTTGAAGGATGGCGCTAGTAAATTTTATATTAGATGGAATGATTATTGTACCTCGAATTAATCATATGGATCGCGGGGATTTAATAATTCATGACTGTCAACGATTGCTGACAATTACTAATGTTCATCATTGTAAAATGATCAATCAAATTTGTCCAAATGGCAAGTGATTGCAGAACTGCATTGGGCAACACATTTTGTTGTACAAGTTATGTTTGATATTGATACCTGATGTGAAAACAAAAATAAATAGTAGAAATCTGTGTGTAAATAGACGCTCAGAATCCTAAACAAATAAGAATCGGCCACATAATGAATCCGAATTGTCGTAAGTAATGTCGCGTAAAAGCTGATAGTCGCTGGTTGTCGAATTCATGGTTGATATCACACCAAAATGATGCGAAGCGTACACTGCGAATTTTGTGTTTTGCGCGTTCCGCGTTTTGTGACGTCGTCGTACAATTTACTGACGTTTTCTACCGCTCGTTCCGCGTTCGGTTCAAAAATCGGTGCCGTCGGCGCTGCGCACGTGTACACTCGGCGCAAAATCAACTGTCTGCGTGGACAGCGCGGCACACATTCAGTCAGCGCGCGACCACGGTGCACCATCGCCCGTCACGGACCGCACCACGACCACCAGGCACCACGACGTCAGCGCGCGCCGTACGGCAGCAAAACCACCCCACACTTTCACGATGGTAGTGCAGAACGAGCTGGTGGCAAAGGCCGAAGATGTGGTCGACCAGGTACGCACATCACCATACAGAATTACATAATTTTCGGCGATTTCTCACAAAAAAAAAACGAAATCTCAGACGATTTCATTCGACGTCACCACACGCACGCATCCTGCACACATCCTGCACGCTCAGCCTTTCATTCAACAGGTCTACCCCGATTTCCTTACGTGTCCATATGCTAAGTTGTATATTGTTTTAAAGTACACAATTTATTCGTCCGCAGGTGATTAGAAAATCCAAACACATTCTACCCACGGTGGCGAGATTATGCCTGATCGCGACCTTTCTCGAGGATGGGCTGCGCATGTGGTTCCAATGGTCAGAACAACGCGAATATATGAATATGTCGTGGGGCTGTGGCGTATTTCTCGCCACACTTTTCGTCTTCGTCAACCTCGTCGGCCAGCTGGGCGGCTGTGTGATGGTACTTATTAGGTACAAAGTGTCAATTGCCTGTGGTGTACTCTTCTCCATCGTTGTGCTGCAAACACTCGCATATAGCATCCTCTGGGACCTGCAGTTCTTGCTGCGGAACTTGGCTCTCATCGGTGCGCTATTATTAGTACTGGCTGAAGGACGCGGTGAGGCGAAGAGCCTATTCGCCGGCGTGCCAAACATGGGAGAGAACAAACCCAAGAACTACTTGCAACTGACTGGCAGGATTCTGCTTGCCTTCATGTTCTTTACTATCATTAGATTTGAATTCAATCCTTTGCAGGTAATTACATTGTGGTGATTGTAGTGAACTAGTTTTATTTAATATGTTTGTTGTTTTAGCTTGTAATTGACCTGTTAGGGTCTGTGTTGATGGTCATGGTCACAATTGGGTATAAGACGAAACTGTCGGCGTTGATTTTAGTCATTCTGCTCAATCTTCTGAACTTCACGTATAACTCATGGTGGGATATTCCCGAGTACAAACCACTGAGGGATTTCCTCAAGTACGACTTCTTCCAGGTTAGTCCATTTAGATTTTTTTTGCTTTGTTGTGCTTTTTTTGCACTTGATTTGAGAACACAAGTAAATATTTAGAACTTTGGAGTCATTCGAGATAAAAGCTACTTATTTACTTTTGAGATTATAGAGTATAATGGACATAGGGATAGATAATTTTGCAATTTGTGAAAATTTGATCAATAATTTTTCTTTAAAATTTTAACATGCGGTATATGAACTAATTTCTAGATGACGCACATCACTGCTTTTGAAATACTCGTCAAACTTGAATTATTCAAGTAGTCGTTAGATGCTTAACATTTTTTTACTTTTCGCTGCTCTAACTGATTAACCTACAAATACCAAAACATAGTATGTAATGAGAATTAGGTATATTGTTCCTGGGTTAATATTTTTTTCAGAAGAACAAAATTTTATTTTGTTTCATTTAATAAATTTGACCTTGACCTGCGCTATACAGGTCATCTTGTTTATAAATGGAAGGTTAAGTTATGAATTCACAATCATAAATTTAGACCACATATAGGAATTTTGAAAACTTGTACGATATCAATCGCGACTTAAATATAACACGTTAAGTTTAATTTATTCACAAAGATAAGGCGAATATGCTCTTAATGATTAAATATTTTTCTCCATTGTACTCTGTACACCAATTCCTGGAAGGGGGTAAATGTTTATTGTTTTGGTCATGTTTTTGTAATGAAATCACGAATGCATGATTTTATAATAGCGAATTTGTGGTTGTTTCTAGACGTTGTCGGTTATCGGTGGTCTCCTGATGATCGTGTACCTGGGACCTGGCGACGTATCAATGGACGAACGCAAGAAGCGCTTCTAGACGCGCGATCAACGTGTGCAATCAAACCAACCGGAGATAGTCAAACGATGCACGAGTTCATTCCACGCACGACGGACTACAGCGGCCGCCGCTGATTAGATTTAAGTAAACGGACGTTGGCGACCGCGAAAGAACCCTACTAATATAAATATTAAATTTTACATTTCTATATGGCAAAGACAAACGCGAAAGGCGACTCGACGTGGTTTGTTTTGCGCTGGTGTTGCAATTAAGTAAGTTTTATTATTGTTTACGCGCATAAGAGTAACTTATCGAACGTTTTTATTATTTCTATATAAAACAAAATACAAAACGAAGACGAATGGATTGACTGGATCGCAGAGGATTGTTAGTGATTGCATGTGTTTTGTTTTCGTTTTTTTTTTGTTCGTCACTGCGTAATCTTTGTAATTTATATTTCTATTCCGTAGACACACACATCCACACACCATATACATACACTCAATGAAGTCAATTAAATCTGTACATAACGACCGTTATATTTACAAATGTGTGTCTCACAATCACGTACATTTACTACAATTGCGCTGCGGGCGCCGATTACATGTTCAGTATTTTTCTGGCTCTTATCTCATTTTGTGTCAATGTCATTCAATGAATCGACCGTTTTCAATTATTTATCGAATTGTTTCGCCATGCACGCAGGGTGTTTGCCAAACCGACCCAATGAAAACATGCTGATTGGTGATACTCACTGATTTTCATCTGCTTCGTTGTTTGCATCAGCCTGAGTGCTTATGATTGTGCAATTCATTAAGTGACTATGGGTCTCAAAGACCGTACTTAAAAAGCTTGAGGACATACACTTTAAAAACGGTATGTTATCATTTATCATATATAAAAAACTTCGCTAATTTCAATGAATATTCCAAACGAAATTGTAAGTACGAGAGAGCGAGAGAATTTCCGTGTCCTCTTTGGGTTGTTCTAATAAATCGTATTTTTATTATCTATATTTTGGAAGACTTCGATACCTATCGATTCGAAACGTATTCATTCGTAATTTTCGCTAAATTTCTGTAACATTTAGCTTCGTTCGAATTGGGTTTTGCTACTGTCACTGGTATACCTTTGTCGGAACATGAACCAATCTCCTTTTCCAATGGCACTGAGACCAATAACTTTGTATCTAACTCCTCAACTAGTTCAAGTACACCATTGCCAAATAATTGCACGTCATTTCGACAAGCGGGACACTTAACGGAACTCATATTTTCCACCAATCCGATTATTGGTATGTTTAACTTATTGAACATTTTAGCTCCGCGTCTCGTCACTTGAATTGACGCTGTTTGTGGTGTTGTGACAAGTACAACACCAGTAATTGGTAAATTTTGTACTATGCTTAATTGAGTGTCACCGGTCCCCGGCGGGGTATCGATGATTAGCACGTCAGTTGGGCCCCAGTGTACCTGACGCATTAGTTTCTCCATTGCTTGCATCACCATTAAACCGCGCCAGATCACCGCAGCGGTTTCTTCAATTAGAAAACCCATTGACATGCTGTTTAAATAATGTTTAATTTTAATATTTACAATGCAAGTTGCAGATGCATTTTCATACCATTTTACTCCATAGTTAATTAAAGGTTCCATCAAGTTGTTGTCATTTAACAGGGGTGTCTCATTCAAATTCATCATTTGAGGCACAGTGGGTCCAAACACATCAGTATCCAAGAGTCCTATATTTTTGTCTGGGCATTCAGTTTTTAAAGCTGTTGCTAAATTAACTAAATTTCAACAAAACAAATGTTAACAATTTATAAATTATAAGAAAACAGTTTAACTTTTTACCTGCAGTAGTACTTTTACCAACTCCCCCTTTTCCGGACGCCACCATAATGATATCTTTTACGTTTGGGATAGGTTTTACTTTCGGCAAACCCCTCGCCAATATTTCCTGTCGCTTCTTTTCTCTTGCATCTTCTTGTTCAGAAGATAGTTGTATCTGACTGAAGTTTGCCTAAAATACATGTAAATACGAGAAACACATATTATGAATGATAATGCATTGCATACTAACTGATATAGAGTTTCTAAAATTAATTAAACTCGGACGTAGTATTCGCTGCAAATGTTTTATTTGCATATTTGTAAATTTGAACAACCGCGACTTTCTTAGTTTAGGAATTAGAGGTTAAATATAAACGTCAAATAATTTAAAATAGAATGAAAAGGAATGCAGCAAACTGTAATTTTCTATTTGCTATTTAACTAATTAAATACGCTACTACGAGAATGCGTTTTCTACTCTTGCTCCTCTAGATATACTTCAGTAAAGAATTAATTCAGTATTAATTATCGTCGTTTCTCATCTTACATTTTGCGTGTAACGTGTAACGCAGTAATCGGTTCCAATTTAGGATTGTACTTATACCGATTCTTCGGTTATGTGACGTGCATGCGTTCTTTTCATCTGATGAACTTAGTAGCGACTTTTTGCGTTTCTTGAACTTAGTGCGATTAGCATAAAAAAACAAGTGAGACTTGTCGACTGATTTGTTAATTTTTGGAAATAAACCACGTTTGCCATATATTTCATGCGAACCTCGCGGCCAGGTAACTTCGGCGTAATTTAGCTCTTAATTCTTAAATTAAGTGAAAAGTAATAGGTAATTTTTCTTACCGGAACTGATGGAAAACCGCCTTTCCAAATTTGCCAATTGATTACATATTCGAAAATTGCTGCGAAATTGAAATGAAAATGAATTTCGGTACATCTTTAGTCCTTTTAATTCCTATTCGATGACGTGTTATGGAACATATCATTGCATTAATTTAAATGCATTTCGGAATTGTTTTGTGTTCAACTCTGCCGGCTTATCGGAGTGTGGACCCCAATAACTTTTATAAAATGAATGAAATTGTATCCTAGCATTGAGCCAATCAGAAGCCATGGTTTGGACACGTCAACCTCGGTTTTACGTTTCCAACACGAAGTATAGATACACAGGAGACCGAACGTCATGTTTAACGAATGGTCTCGGTCTAGGGAACAGAACATTCACCGGTAGAGCGCGCCACTATTCTATTAGTACTCGTTTAAATCCTTACGTTGCTATGGAAACCACCGGAAAAAAATCCAAGAAACATGAAACAATAAATAAATTATCACTAAGTATAAAAACCCAGGAACGTCATGTCAAACGAATTGTCTCAGTGTTGCTATGGACACGAACCAGCGTACATCGATAGGTTCTCAAAAAATGCGCAGCCAAGAGTACAGTTAGAAATCGTTTACTTATGATATTGAAATTATTGAATTGATTAGTAGCTGTGCAAAAAATTGAATGACGAGACAACCGTGTACCTGTAATCGCTCGCAAGGACAGGGAAGTCAATGAATTACATTATTAAATTGAACATACATACTACATAGTAATGCATAATATATTACATAATTTTATTACTTTCTTTGGTGAATACGTAATCCATGTTGTATATTTATAAAAAATTTATTTATTAAACATTATACGTGATTTTGGATTTACAATTTTATTTTTGAGTTGACATGTTTCGCCCAGAGGGCATCTTCATAAGTTTATTACATAAGTTTATTACATAAGTTTATGAAGATGCCCTCTGGGCGAAACATGTCAACTCAAAAATAAAATTGTAAATCCAAAATCACGTATAATGTTTAATAAATAAATTTTTTATAAATATATTACATAATATTTATTGATTTATCATAAACTAATAAAACAACATTGAAAACATGGTGTCGAAAACACTCTATATCTCGAGAACTATATGACTTTTTGACGTGATAACGTCTTTAAAATCGTTTTACGGGTGACCGGTTCAGAAACATTGTGTCACGAGCGAGGTCGATCGCAGGTATACCCCCCTCTCGTTATAACGAGAGAGAGACGGACCGATCTCCCGTCTCATCTCGAGCGCTGCCAGTCATTCCGACCCCCCTCTCGTTATAACCAGAGAGAGACGGACCGATCTCCCGTCTCATCTCGAGCGCTGCCAGTCATTCCGTGCCAGTCATAGCGTTCGAGTGAGTTGACCGATCTTCCGTCTCTCTCACTCTAGCGGCATACAAACGAATGGAGATTTTCTCGTGCGGTTAAGTTTTCGTTGAATGTTTTATCGGCCGATAAAAAGTTTGTAGTGTGCGGGGAGCCTAACAGTAAAACAAAATGTGAAGTGCAAGTGAAGTGTTACAACAATTGCAACAAACAAAACTTATATCACGAATAAGACGTTATCACGTAAACATCTCGATCGTAAACCTACTTTACAAACAACTTAAATTTTTTTATAGTTTCTTATGGCCATGTTAAAGTTCGAAAGTCTCTCTACAGGCTGCATACCTTTTCAATCTTTTAGCCCATTCCGAAGTGTCCTAAAATGCCACAAAAATTGGCAGTTTAAAAAAAAATTAAACAATGGTCTAGGAAACACCCTGTATCCTGCAAACTAATTGACTTCTTTAGAGTTTTGCACCACCATATTAAAGCTTGTAATTGAAAACATGTAGTTTCTTACCGCCATGTTAAAGTTCTAGAGTCTTTCTACCTGATCCATGTCTTTCCAAGCCCTCAACCCTTCCAGAACTGCCCTAAAAAGCACTTCAAAAATAGCTACTTTTGTCACAAAAATTTCAGTTTTACGTCGAATAACAGAGTCGAACTTTTTTGTTAAATTTTTTCGACTGAAGAACAAGGTCGAATTTTAAAAACAAATTTTGGTCAAAGAACATGATCGAATTTTTTTGGCCGAATAACAGAGTTGAACTTTTTCTTATTTTTTTGCTTGAACAACAGAGTGGAACTTTATTCCTAAATTTTTCCGCCCAAACATTACATTAAAAAATTGAAATTTTGAATTCCTTTGAACAATATATTTTTTAAAATTAATAAAAGTAATTAATTGTCAAAAATTGGCGGAGGCGCCTGAAATTTAAAAGAGTTGTTTAATTAATTATTGAGAGCTACCTCATTAGGTAGAGGGATTCTTAAAGATAAAATTTAAACAACTTTTCGCCTAAAAGCAGGACGGCTTTTTCCTGCAAATCTCATTAAGTGAAATGTGCACTCCCATCGAGACTTAACGAACAATTATCTCAGGAACTAATTGATATAAACAAAATCCAAAAACACCCCCATGTTCAGCATTAAATCCTAGATAAGATAATATTTAAAAACTTTAAATTATAACATGTGCATAACAAATTTTCCGCCGCGATTTTCTTGGAAAATAATAAAGTTAGTAAAAAACTTTTTTCATTTTGTTCATGCCGTGATAAGGATCTAAAAAATGGCAGATTTAGTTTTTCCATTTTCCAAAGTTGACCAAAGACCACTCAAAAACATCAAGAGGTAACACTTGATTCTTTTTGGACTCAAAAAAAAAATTTTTAAGCAGGAAGAAAATGGAAAACGCTAATCGATTTAGTTTTCCAAGGGGATGAAAGATATCCAGTCAGTTTTCCGATAACATCATTATTTCGGAAAATATGTGGTAAACTCTAAACTGATCAAATAAAACCATCTCTCCGATTTTCACCAAATGTTTCTACTTGTCATCACCAGGATTCTATTAATCCAGGTTTCGTTGTCCAATCTTAACTAGTTTTCATGTGATTGACCATTTTTAATTAATACGTAAGTATTGATAACTGAAATATTATACAATGTAAAATGTAAATCTACAATCAAATATGAAAACCGTTTTTCTCTATCTCTAATAGTTTTCGAAATACAGTAGAGTCCGATTATAATGACATCGAAGGGAACTGACAAACACGTCATAATAAGCGGACGTCATACAAACCGTTTTGTGAAATAAAAACCTTTTTTTACGTAAATATGTACCTAAGTACTTTAATATATAAACATAGTAATTACAAATGTATATAAATGTATACATATATATTAAATTAAAATCAAAATTGCACATAATTACACATACAAGAGTATTTTTTACTGTTTTAAATAATCTGTCATTTTTGTCTGCTTTTGTTTTTTTATTTTATTGTAAAAACAGTCTCTAATACTATTATGAATAGAGGACATAGCTATGGTCAAATTATCATTTGCAATATTGTTGTGCATAGTAACAAACACAAGAAACACAAGACACAAATAGTTAAACACAAACAATAAATTCACCTCCGGCAGCGTGACGAGTTGTGAGAAGATAAGTAGGAACTGTTCATAGATTTCAAAGTTGTGGTATGTAAGGTAAGAAAATCGGTCATGTTATATGGTCTGCTAGAACAGGATTGGTTAAGATTTAATTGGTTTATGAGGGTGAAAAACAGACAAGAAGGTTAGTTTGGAAAATACGGATTAAGTCGTGGACAAGGTACTGCTGCCCGAATGCTTATATTTATTATTTAAGCATTTGGTCTTTCCGATAGTAAATACATAAAAGTAATTTGACAATCATAAAAGAAATGTAGCAATAAATATAAAAAGTTCGCCACGTGTCGATCGTCGTCGGGAATCAACGAGCATGACCGGAGGTGTAAAGAATCATGTTGGTCATTATAACCGGACATAATCTATTAAAAATGGGTCATAATAAGCGACATGTCACTGTAAGCGAAGTCATTATATCCGACTTTTTTAAAAAGAATTTTATATGAAAACCAAACTTCGTAGTGTAGTTACGTCATAATAACCGGTTGGTCAATATAAGCGGAGTCATACTAAACGGATTCTACTGTAAATACGAAAAACTGATTTATTCGTTTTCTCCATGATTTCCTAAACAAAAATTTAAATTGGAAATTTGACTTTGTCATAACCGAATTGATTCTACATACTTTATCTTAATAAAATTTTGCTCTAAAATAAAGCATATTAATTAATAATTATCACTATATCTATGTCTAGATTTGTTTCTATTCAAATTACTTTAAAACTGTCAATAGGGCCTAAATGATAAGTTGTAAAAAATTTTTCTCTTAAATAATTAAATTAAAATTTAAGAAACTGTTAAAATCTTAACCAGTTTTTGCACTTATCTTGAAAATTATTAGAGATAGAGAAAATCTGTTTTCATATTTGAATGTAGATTTAAATTTTACATTATATAACAAGTTAAAATATTCAGTTATCAACACTAACGTAATAATTAAAAGTGGTGAATACCATTAAAACTAATTAAGATAAGGCAACCAAACCTGGATTAACAAATTTTCAAATTTTAACAAATTGGTGATGTCCTACTTCAATTGGAAACATTTGGGGTAATCGGAGAAATGGTTTTATTCGATAAGTTTAGAATTTACCACCCATTTTTCGAAATAATGATGTTATCGGAAAACTGACTGGATATCTTTCATCCCCTTGGAAAACTAAATCGATTAGCGTTTTCCATTTTCTTCCTGCTTAAAAATTTTTTTTTGAGTCCAAAAAGAATCAAGTGTAACCTCTTGATGTTTTTGAGTGGTCTTTGGTCAACTTTGGAAAATGGAAAAACTAAATCTGCCATTTTTTAGATCCTTATCACGGCATGAACAAAATGAAAAAAGTTTTTTACTAACTTTATTATTTTCCAAGAAAATCGCGGCGGAAAATTTGTTATGCACATGTTATAATTTAAAGTTTTTAAATATTATCTTATCTAGGATTTAATGCTGAACATGGGGGTGTTTTTGGATTTTGTTTATATCAATTAGTTCCTGAGATAATTGTTCGTTAAGTCTCGATGGGAGTGCACATTTCACTTAATGAGATTTGCAGGAAAAAGCCGTCCTGCCTTTAGGCGAAAAGTTGTTTAAATTTTATCTTTAAGAATCCCTCTACCTAATGAGGTAGCTCTCAATAATTTATTAAACAACTTTTTTAAATGTCAGGCGCCTCCGCCAATTTTATCATAATTACTAATAACTCTTATTAATTTAAAAAATATTGTTTTATCAATCAGGAATTCAAAATTTCAAATTTTTAATTTAATGTTTAGACGGAAAAAAATTAAGAACAAAGTTCAACTCTGATATTCGACTAAAAAAATTCGATCTTGTTCTTTGCCCAATTTTTTTTTTAAATTCGACTCTGTTCTTTGACCGAAAAAATTTAAGGAATAAGTTTGACCCTGTTTTTCGACCAAAAATGAAATTTTTAGAAAGCTATTTTTGAAGTGCTCTTTATGGCACTTCTGGGAGGGTTAATGGGCATTTTAAGGCATTTCCGAAAGGGCTAGGAGATTAAAAATGATATGCGTCATGTGGAGAGACTTTCGAACTTGATGGCAATAAGAAACTCTAAAAAAGTTTAATAGTTCACGAGATACACGGTGTTTTCCACACTGTTTTCAATTTTTTTGAAAAATGTCAATTTTAGAAGGGAATTTTAGGGCACTTCCAAAAGGGCCAGAAGATTAAAAAGATAAGAATCATATAGATGTACTTTTGAACTTTAATATGGTGATGCAAAACTCTAAGAAAGTCGATTAGTTCACAAGATACTGGGTGTTTTCGACACCATGTTTTCTATTTTTTGAATAATGCCATTTTTAAAGGGAGTTTTAGAGCAATGCAAGGAGGGGTAGGAGATTTTCAAATGATGCAATGTGTAGAGAGACTTTCGTGCTTTAACATAGGCGTAAAACATACTAAGAGGCCCGCTGATTTCACAAGATACAAGGTGTTTTCCATACTATGTTTCCATATTTTGTGAAAGACGTCAATTTTCAAAGAGCATTTTAGGGCATTTCCAGATGAGTTAGAAGATTGAAAAGGTATGCCTTGTGTAGAGCGACTTTTGAACCTTAAGATGTTCGTAAGATACTTCAAGAAAGTTAATTAGTTACTGGGGTACAGGGTGTTTCCGGCAGCATATTTTTAAATGTTTGTAACAACGCTAATTTTGATAGGTACTTTAGGGCCAGTCTTTGGGGTGTGAGGAAATTACTTAAATAGTAAAGGCAATCATTCTGTTATCACCCATCAATCAAACAACAACAACAATCTTATTCATTAAACCAACGTTGTCAAATTTATTTCAATATAATCATAATTCAACTTTCGTTGTTTCCAATTACGGGGAGCGAATGACACATATACTCAATCAACCGGACAAAGTCGAAGCTAAAACCGACTCTGCTACCGTCATCTAGTAAGAAATTAGTTTCCTGCATTCCTTAAATTCTCAATTGTAAGTTAATTTACACCCGTTGTGTAATAGTTACAAATTGAAGTTGATCATACACAGACATTCATACGAACGAAAAGCGAAAACTTAATAATATTCAGTTCCTTTACTTAAATTCGTAGTGTTTACATTGTTACACGTAAATTTCATACAAAAATCAATAGATTTACTATTAAAATAACTATACATATTTGCATATAACAAAACATTGCAAAAGATTATTGTATATTGGTAAAATTAGAAGGTAACAAATTCACTTAATTGCGAAATGGTGTTATGATCAACGGCTTGTATTAATTGTTCATATTGCTGTCCCAATTGGCTCTTTAGGAGATGCAACTGAAACACGAAGTCCATTTAATTTCCACGTTAACAACAGAATTTCTAATCAGTTTAATCAGCTTATACTTACTTGTGATTGTAAATAATCCTTCAATACAACAGTATGCACCAAATCAACCGATAACAACTGTGACTCTCGAATATCATGCTCGGTTTCAATGAAACAATACTCGTCCGATCCTTTTCCAGGATCTGGCATAACTAGCGAGTCCACATACAGTCCCGAATCGTCGGTCTGCATAATATCGTTAAGCGTTTCTGAAATATTTATCAACATACGCGGAATGCGTTGTATTATCGGTTGGCTTTGTATCGTCAGCATATTGGTCAGTGCCAAACCCAACAATTTCATATTCTCCATATTTGAAACATTCGGCATGCTGTCTGTCCATATATCCAAAAGTGTACCGATAATGTCCTGCTCATTGTTGTTGCTGATTCTTGCTAATTCAAGTAAACTCTGACTGAACACATCATGCGACGCTAAGATGACACGTGAAATTACTGACAAATATATTGCAATCAAGCCAGATGGTTCCTCCTTGCGAATCACCACTCTAAAAACATTCAATTAGTAGATGTCAACAACGTTGAAAAACACAAAATTTACTCCATAATTCGAGGCATAACAATTTTGATAATTTCACTGGCTTTTGTCGGTGAAATACACAACATTGTCTCAAAAAGTCTCGCAAGTACAATCAAAGCCTCAAATCTCAAATCGCTCATGAGCCCATCTAACGTCCGAATCAATTGTACACCATGATTGACAATCACAAAGTCGGGATTCAGCAGTAAATAAACCCGAATTATTTGCATGCATATTACCCAATTCTCCGTGGATGACTCTGTAATTTCAATGCAATGTTAATTATGGCTATTTAAAAGCAATTTGAACATTAGTTTACCTATTAGCGGTAGAATACTACTGAACAATTCCATGCATCCAAGATTTAACTCCTTGGATGTTTGCAGCATGGCAACCCATAGCTCCAGGCAGTCCTCAAGCAGATACAAAATGGCACTCTGATTCGTATCAACACCCAATTGTATAACAAGAACAAGGAAGGCGTTTATCTCGGAATTGTTACATCCCAAACGCACCAATTGAATGAAAGTCGCGACAATCGCACAACGCAGCATGTTATGTTCTTCGGACTCATGCCACAAAACAGGAAGATATTGCAAGAGCACGACGGAGTTGGGTACGATAGTCTGTCCGCAACGTTCGAGCATTAAAGTTATTACGTTGAGAACCTGCATCTTAGTTTCGCACTCATTGGAAGCTTTGAGCAGATCAAGAAGGCGAATAAAAGTTGCTTCAACATACGGTTGAAATTGATCGGGGTTAAAATCTGGATCGTCGACAACGCTGCGAAACGCGGTAGACGCCGTTAAACGCACCGCAATGTCTTCCTGTTCATCCAGCAAACTGAGGCAACATTCGTATAAAGCCGGGCGCAGTTCGCACGCAAGTTTGATCCGACTCCATTGCCCCATCAGCCAAACAACACGACGTCGCAAAATACGGTAATTATTGTGTTTGATTTTCAGTTCTTGAGTCAATACGTTCATAAACCATTGATCAAAATCCACCTAATTGTTGTTAATCACATAATTTTTTCACAACATTACAAAATGATTTGTAATACTTACACCTTCATACATGTTGTATTTTGCTAAACCAACCGCGTTGTAAACAGCGTCTTTGCGAAGGACGCCTTGCATGTCTTCGGGAGGAACTAAAACATTTGTTTCGCGTACTAGTTCCAAGACCACGGAAGACACATTATCGCAGAAACGAGGAAACAATGATAAATAAAGACATTCCATGCTAGGCTGCGATATAAATATAAAAATTAATTAAAAATCTGCTAATTTATAAAAAGACTTACCCTCAAACTGTATTTCCATGTTTCACCACTTTCATCAATAACAAACGCTTCCGGATCAGCATCCCACAGTTCTAAATCTTCCTGCGTCAAAATGAAATAATGGGAAATCAATTTTTTACAAACGACACTCAAGATATCGGGCTGGAAGAATTCGCGGATAATTCCGTCCGCACGTGATGATTCAGCATCCTTCACACCCTTCTTTACTCTGTACTCCGGGCAAACTAGAATCACCTTCATAAGATTGAAGCACTGAATAATGAAACGTTCAAAAAGGAGCGCTTCAATATTGGAAGCAAACAGATAGTAATACACGAATTCCAAACTCGGTTTGATGAAGTCAATAAACGCAAATGGATGCGCATCGATCACCGAGAGAAGATTTTTCGTCAAATGAACAATGAACTTTTCACAATGTTCAATCAACGCGATACTTTTCAGTGAACGACCTAAAGAATAAACATTTTTACAGTATTTCAAAATTATGTAAAATATTCATAACTTACGGCATTCAAGTGAAGTTCTCGCACGATCAAATACCGCTTTCATAAAGTTCATGCAATCAGCGTTGTCATTCGGTTTATAAAAACCATAAACAGTCAATTTGCGTAGGATACGCAGTGTTAATAAAGCTTTCTCCAGGCTAGCATTAATCTGCTCCGCTGTCGCATTCTGCATTACTTCGTTAATGAATGTCTCTGTGAACGTGTTCCACATGTTTAATATAAACGGGTACACAGCGGCAGTGAATTCGAGAAATGCATGTCGGTCACCTTCAAAATACAATCACATGTTGAAGTATGATCAAAAATTAAGTTATTGATGAACAAACCTAAAAGGCGCTTTGAGGACATCACCTTAACAACATGATGCAGTGTTAAAAGTGATCTGTGTTGGATGAGCATTTCACTGCTTCCTATTGCTTGTAACAGGGTGGGTAATAATGTGGGCCACTCCTTGGGACAATCCCATCTGGCAATCTTTGATATGAGGACAGCAATGTGCACAGCTATTTGATTGACTGGTTCATGAAAGTTCATTGTGAGTGCTTCCTTTAACCCTTGTCTCTCTTCCTCTGCCATTGCACTAAAAACATAAAATATATTAATATAGCAATATGAAAATGTGCATCACAATGCATCAATATATTTTATACTTAGGTGCATTCTTCCTCCAGTACTTTTCAACCCCATTTTTGATACATACTACAGCCATAAGTCTTACATTTACATCCAAGTTATGATTGATTAACACATTCTAAAATAAATAAAAATAACCTTATAATATGAGAGATAATGCAAAATGAACACAACTTACATATAATGCAGTGTAGAAACCTGGCTGTATCTCCCATTCTTGCAGCTTAGCTTCAGCTTGTTTCAATATGATTGGATCTTGGCAGGAGGCTTGCTTCAGCACCTCCAGGACCAAGGATTGCGTCGACGCTGCCTCCATTTTCACTACTAACTATTTCACATTTAAAAATATGCTATTTTTACATTTAATATTTATAACAAATTATGACTGACATGTGTTGGGGCTGCGAGCAACCGTCACAGGTTATGTTACTAAACAACGAAACAACGAAAGCTGGAAGAACACTGCAGAACAAAATGTGTTGTCGAATACTACACTACATACACATTCATAAATCATTAATAATGATTATTAATTGATTACTTATTATCAGTCAAGTTGATTTCTGATATTACGCACAAAAATTGAGTGATTATATGCGTAGTTTGAATTCAATTCAAAGCGTGGGTAATATAGGCAACCAATATTACAGCACAATATTAAATGGTAAACGTAACTAAAAGTAAGTTACCTGTAAAAAATAATATAGTACCATACAATCTTAATAAAACAATACGAAAATTTTAATAACAAAACACCAGTCTTATAGTTTACAAACTAGAACATTATCAATAGTTTTGTAATGGAATTATCCTGCTTGGTTTGATCTCTTCTCTACACATTGGACAATTGGGTTGATATTTCAAACTATCATAAATACACTCCCAACAAAACAAGTGGCCACATGGAGTGCAACTTACATTTTTGCAATTATCTGCACATAATACACATACTTTTGAGGAGACACTACCTGAACCCACAGTCGGATAAGTGTAGGAAGTTTTGGAAGCAGACATAATCTTCTCTGCCAATAAATAGACTAAATATATCAAAGATATATACCCCAGAATATTGAAACTTGTTGTGGCAGTTGTATCCTGCATCCACTGCCTCAATAAAACCTAAAATAATAAAAAGTTTATATAATTAACTAAATTTAGAAACACATATAACTTACATATTTGACACCAGTTAGTCTGTTTGCAACACTGTGATAGGTCCCAAAAATATAAAATATGGAGTGATGTAAGCGGAGTAAAATGTACTTGTTCTCTTTAAGAAAATCACAAGTTTTCAAGAAGGATTTTTTTGCATCCTCTGTTAGCTCTCTGTTTTGATGAACAGTCTTTCCAATATGTACCAGAGCCCTATCATACATTTGATTTCCTCCAACATAAAGGCATAACCAGAGAAGTTGCCCGAATTGTGAGATGAGTTCATTGTCAGGGCTGACCCTAATTGTGCCTGTATACTCCTCACCCAGGGTCTGAAGATTTGATACGGACGTTAATAGGTAGTACCAGGCATTCGTGCAAAGTGGAATTAGTTGGCGAATTTTATTATAGTTTTGTCCTGATCCGGTAAGGAGCTTTACTAAATCAGTCATATATTCTTGTAATTCGTTGATAAAGTCATTGTCGCGTTGGTTCGCTCGTAAAATATCGGATATTTCTGCTTTGTAAAAACTCATGTTATAAAAACACAATTGGCCAATTGGAATTTGTACAAGTTCACTCAGTCTGAGGTTATGTTTGAATTTGGGTTTAGTGCTACCTCTATGCACAAAATATCGAAGTTTAAACTAAATTACACTTCGGTCCAAAGGTTGAATTAAATTACAAGACAGCACTTTATACCTAATTTTTGATTGCAATTAATTACAATGATGTGTTTGGATGAGCAGCCGGCACGATAACCCTACTTTAAAGACTTTTATAGAACTTCTCTATCTTATCAATATTATATATATTGTACATACTTTATTGTTCATTACATAAACCAAAAACACATCAACTAAAACAAGTAATAACAAAAGTGATCCCAAGGTTCGATATTGATATATATCTACATTACTGTATTATCATAATATTTAATTATACCAAAATTATATATTGTTAGCTTAAGCTTTGCAAATGCCAACAACACCGCATGCAAGTCGCGCTCCTGCATTGCCGGTACTCTTGCTGAGCTCATGACCTCCCTTACCAAGGTCATCGGGATCGGCGTGCACAACCAGCGTGCGACCGATAATGCTGTACTGTCCATTCAATTGAATCTTCTTATCCATGATCTCCACCTTGGCCTTGCCGGTGCCATCAGCGGTAACGTTACCGAGATCTCCAATGTGACGCACGCCGTCAGTAGGAGCGCCATGCTCTTGATTCAACGGATTGAAGTGCGGCCCGGCGGAGATGCAGCCGTTGGTATTATCGCCGAACTCATGGATATGGAAACCGTGCAGGCCTTGGTCTAGCCCAGTTACTTCGCCGGTGACTTTGACTGTGTCACCCTGTCAGACATGAGTAAACCATAAATTAAAATCATCTGTATGCAAATATGGCGTGAGTTGCGCTTTTTGCGATGAAACTGCTAAGAGAGATTGGCTTGTAACTCACGAGTTGTTCGAAGTAGACGGTTCCTTTGACGGCTTCGCCGTTCAATACACACACAGCCTTCATGCCTCTAATGTAATGATTTGACGAAGACGATGTTAGTGGATAGCCAGCACGGAGCGGAGCAGGTGTACGTCTATTCGGCTGACGGATGACTGGCTTATTTGGAGCTGGAGCTCTACGAGCCAGTTTGAGAGTGTGTTTTCAATGTCCTTCGGTTGATTACGCGCAGTACGAGGTGGAATTGAGCAGGGAAGGGGCAGAAACCTTGACACCACGCACAGGAGCACCGATATTATTAATGTTATTTAATTTGAAATTGTTACACACATTTCAACCGGCGATTTTTCTAGAATGTCGTAAGTGTCATTTAAGCACACAAACAAATGATGCGCTGGAACGGATTTAATAAATAACGTACTAGATTGTGAAGCCTGCAAAAGTGGTTAAAACATAGACTGTAAATACCTGCGCATCATTTTTCGTCCATAATATCGATTTGTTACATAACTATACATTGATAAATTATTTCCTAAATGCGTATAAAATATGCAACTGTTTCATTGAAATCTGCATCAAGCTATATGAGCTGCCAATAGTTTTAGGATATGACAGTATACAGAATGAAATTATTAAAATCGATTCGCCGCTTTTGTTGCCCGGTTTATAGAAAACTAAAGATATACGTATTGAAAATTATTTATGCAGGAGATACAGAGTGACCTCCATAAAGGAGCAACAAAAATGACGTGACGGGTACCATTATTAGATATTTAAAGGGTGCATCATCAATAATGAGTTAGAACTTATTACAGAAATAGCTCAATCTCGTGTTAAAACTTAAATTAAAAACTGCAAAATTTGAAAAAATATATTTTAGGCCTCTAATATTATTTTTAGTTTATCTACTATTTACTAATCCTGAAATAATCAAAACAATCCTACTGGAATATAAGCAATTACAGCGTATTTTAATATATATAAAAAACAAATTAATATATTCAAAAATAAAGTGTTTATGCTATACATTTTGAAAAAAGTACCAACGCATTTCAATTCACAAAATTAAGCAATTAAAGCATTAACCGTCCTCCACGTTTTCGCAACAATAATTCGAAAAGAATAAAATTTACTCTCTTCATAAGTTCATCTAGTACGCATAAAATAATTGTTACACGTCGAATAAATAAATCTGTGTTCTAAAATTAATACATTTGTGCAAAGCGAGAAATAAAATTATAATACTATCCATGATTAAGCACAACGTTACCGAAAATTAAAGCAATAATGAGGCGCCATATTTATAAACAACAAAATAAATCAATTTACATTCTGTTTAAGTTTAAGTTGTGTTTGTTATAATATTCACTTAGCTAATATTCCGTTTTGAATAATATATTTCAAATATACACAATTTCACGATTATGTACACACAAATCACATAAAAATATCACGGTGGTTGAATGTTACACAAGTTCTTCCATACAAACAACAACTACAAATTTGAGATTTTTGAGAATGGCGACCATGTTAATATTTATGTATTAATAGCGTTTAGTTACTTCTTACTCCTTGGTGCGGATTTTCTTCTTCTTTTTCTTTGTTTTGGTCTTTATCTTGGTCGCTTTATTCAGTTTTGCCTTGGAGCCCTGCTTTTGGAAATTATGCACACGGAAATTTCTTTGTCTGGGCTCACCTTCGCTAAGCATCTTCCTGCTCAGATAACCTGGTGTTCTGGACTTATTACTGAACATCTGAGATCTGGAACTAGTTTCATCCCAGGCAGCAGTCAAACTTTCAGGCAAAATACGATTGGTTTGCTCACAGGTGGTAATTATACGCTTGCCACTTGCATCTTTGACATTACCATCACCCTGCTTTCGTTCAGCCTGGTGTGCAGCTTTGGTAGCTGGCGACGTGTTACGAATGTTACGTGCAATATAATTCACAGTAGATGTTCCACTCGTAACCTGGCCCTGGGTGTGTTTTTGAAAATTATGTGAGCGATAATTTCTATGTCTAGTTTCACCATCGCTATTACTTCTTCGATTTAAAAATGCGGGTGTTCTAGACTTATGCGTGAACATCTGTGGTTTTGCATTACTCCCATCCCAGGCAACGATTAAATTATCCGGCAGTACTCGATTATTCTGCTCATAAGTGGCAATCACCTGCTTGCCGCGTCCGCCTTTAACGTAACAAATCTCTTTCACATTCACATCGCCTGGTTTTCGGTCGATTTGCAGGTTGCCTTTGGCTGCAGGTGAGGTGTTGCGGATATTTCGCGCAATGAAGTTGACGCTAGGTGAGGTACTACCACCTGCGCGTTTGTTACCAACTGCCATTGTTTGAGAAGCGGCTTGTTTCTGATTCATTAGAAGAGCTGGCTTGCGACGGGTGGAGTGACAACCGCCCGAGGACGATGAAGACGAAGAGGCCAGATGCTGGCGGTCATGCGAGCAACTCGGCTGTGGAGAGCCGCACTTGCGTTCACGTTTGGATGCAGCCGCCACCGCCGCTGCTGCTGCTGCTGCCTTCGCCTGCCGCTGCTTAAGTCCTGGCTTGAGAGATGACTTCTTCGGGTGACATTTTGTCGGGAAGGAGCGCGTCTTCAGCACCGGACGTACTGCCTTGCCCTAAAGAAATTCATTACAATATTCCAAGAGGCATGAAACGTATATAATCACAAAATTGCTTTTGGCTCGAAAACGCTCAAATTTTTATTCAATTAATCGAATTCGAAACAAGCTAAGATAATACTTCTTGCAAAATCGATTCTGTAATAAAGGTTACTATCTAAAATCTAAAAATTAACTAAGCAAATAACTACTTCATAACATTATAAAATTATCTAGATGCTGCATTTGATGCCAGAACGATTAGTGCAAAAATTATTATGTTAGTGCGTCACATTTGCGATCAATTCAGTAATTTTCAAACTAAATATTTGAGGAACACTTGCATCTGGAAATGAAAAAGCAAAAAAATGCATATATTTTTATAATAAATCATGTTATATATCTATATAAATATCTCCAACCTTCAAGAACAATAAATATTTGTTTCCATATCTTAAATTTCAATAAATATATAAATGATCGAATACATTCAACGATGTCGTAATTTTTTAAACAGTAGCAAACAGTGTAAATATGTCCGTGGTAAATGGGAGAACAATCGCTGTATCAGTCTAGAGTTAGTTAATTTAAAAATAAAATCAAATGGCTGAACCACTGAATGGCAATTTAATTGCACGATTATCACTAATATGGATAACACGTTATTCGTCTCGTCTATTGGTCTAGTAGTCTATTCGTTCAACAACTATTAACGAATTATCAATATTTGGGTAAAATTATCTGTACAAGTAAAATATAGCGGTCTAAACCTCCATTATATACCTACTTGGAAGTAAAAAATTACTTAAAAAGTGATTTAAAAAATATCTAATAGTTATGCTAAGAGGAAACTGAGAGCAACCCAAGATCTTCAAATAATATAATTTTTAGTAAAAATCGCAATTGTAAAGAAAATGTATGGCAAAATGTTTAGACCGCTATAAATCTCATACCCATGGCAATAAATGCTGACGCGGCAAGTTTTTGTTAATAAAGTTAACAAGAATTCATGGTGTTCTAGTTTTAAGTGATGTAAATGATTGGAATGGTGTTAAAATGAATCATTTTGAGCTTTCCGTTTAGGTAATTATGCATTGCCGAATGCTAACATCAAAGTCGACACTTTCCGTGTCCGCCTCGCTGCTATCAATATCATCGTTATTAGTGTTGCCTACCTGAGCGTGGAGGCTGGCCGCCTGACGGATTTTGGCTTTCTTCGGCGTCTTGCGTGCTGTCCCCAGATTGTAGGTGGAATGAATTCGCAGCCAGTCGCGCATCCCGTTTAACGAATGGTACTCAGAGTGGGATATCCGTGTGTGGAGATTGCTATTGGTCAGATCTAATATTGAAGCGCCTAAAGATCTACCCACCTACACAAGTGAAAAAATATAAACAAAAATTACGCAATGAAATGAAATCAAATAATAGTATTATTTACCTCCTCAAAAACGGCGGGATTGTATTTGGGTGGCACAATGAGATTTTGCATAAACTTCGGTCCCTCTTTAATGCACGGAGGAAGTTGATTCACCAATCTACCAGTGTTGTAATTGCATTCCAAAGTGTAGCTTTGTATTAAACCGGTTAGTTTATATACTGCCACACGGCCAGAACCTTCTCGACTCATTCCATCGCGTTTATCCCTTTGGGAAAGACATTTAATCAAGAGAAGTCGTAACAGAGCATTACCACCATACTCACTTTAAATACATATTCTTCTCCGTAAAATTGCACGCGGTAAAATGAAAGTTCTGATTATTCAGACTCATCACTTTTGGCAGGAGCATGCAGTGCACGTTACTCTCTATATCATCGAAGTGATTTCCATACATAAAAATGCCTTTCTTTGACGCATGACCATGCATGTCTAGATAAAGAAATAATCCGCTATTGTTAACGTCAACGCAATCACCGCAGGTCACGCAAATATTAGCGCGGCCATCTTGTGGCACATTTTCTCTTTCCACGCCCTTATCTTTTTCACTGCGACATTTCTTACACATAGACTTGTTCTTTTTATTTTTCTCGTCTAATGTGATTGCGCCAACCTCGGTAATGATATTTTCATCGGTAATGAGCGGCACCTCCATTTCGTCGGTCTCTCGTTCATATCCATAGTGCGCATAGCGAATTAAAGAACGCGCGGCATAGATTGTAGGATGCTCAGTTGGCGAAGGGTTCAAATAAACGCGGTTCAAATTAACACCACGTGTGTCAGTGCGGTAATGACCATTCACCACCCCGTCCGGGTTTAAACATGGAACGATTTTAAACACATAAAGTCGACGTAATGCTTGTGCAATGGTGTCGTCCTTTGTGAGGATAAGATTGATGAAACCGTTGAGCACGAAACTGGAAGGGGTTTCACCTGGATGGACTCTGGCTGATAAAAATATAACCTATAAAAATAACCTCATAAGATTTGCAAGAACATTAATACATTATCAATAGAATAAATACTTTTTTGTCTATGAACAAATAGGGTCTCTCGACACTTTTGTCCGGAAATAAATTTCTTAATCTAGTCTCCCGTTTATCAGTTATACCATGAAACGATGATATTGTCAGTAAATCAACTTTTCTGTTCTGTAATGTGTGGCAGACCGTTTCGCGGACATAGTAAACATCGTCAAGCGAATCGATCTTATCAGATTGTCGCTGCTTCTTGTCAATCGCATCTAATTTTGTTTGTAATTCGACGAAACTGTAAGGATAGGTGAAAGCAAAGTATATTATGGCGTTCGTATTCTCTGGCATTCGAAACTTGAAAGATAGTGTGAACACATCCTCCACCTAAAACAAAATTGTAACAATATGATAAAAATTGAAGTCTAATTAGTCATTTACTGTAAAAGTCGGCTTCTCTAAAATGCGATCCCAATTCTGTTTGCTTGATGGGACTATCCTATACACTGGCACCATTCCTTGGCCATAGAGCTTGGCCTGTTTGTTCATGTCAACAATGTTAAACTTAACATACACCAATGGCAATGGTGCTACAAGAAACAATCGTATTAGTATGTAAATTCACTCTATTGTGCCTAATGCAATAACAGGACAATAGAACATTGTTGCTTACTTTTAACAGCAAAGTAGAACCAAGTCCTGTTGCCATTTTCGAATTCAGTGTCAGAACAGTCATGCTTGGTCCATAGGTTGAATTCATAGTCAACCACATCAGTCTTACCAGTTATTGTAGTCTGCGGGGTGTCATCTAGACAAAAACATTTATTAACAGGTATTATTTGGGCTTACAACACACACAAACAAATAAAAATACATTCAGTAAATAACGTATGTATATTACACAAGTTAATCATAGTTATGTGCATAATTAAATAATTATTGCTGAATGTGGCTTTGTAGTAATTAAGAAATATTTACGGAAAGCACAGTTGTGTCTGTTATGTGGTTGTAGATTTATTATTAGAGTTGAATATCAATAAAACAAAGCGATGTTAGTTACAGCATTTATAACTCAAGAACGGTCGGACAAATTTTGATAATCAATGATTTTTTGGATTCGTCTCTGCCCCGAATAGCAGAATTAACTATTAAAATATCAAAAATTATGACTTAAAGAGAATTTAATAAGGGATAAAAATTGGTATAGAGATAGAGATTTTTCATTTCTTTAAAATATAATAACGCATTGATGAAATCGACACATACATACTTATTGAACAAAAAAGTAAAATTGTCAGAAATATACCTTTAAGTTAATTCTTTGATTTAATTGAAGTTAGCAATAACAAAGCAAAGTGATATGTAATATACAATAAAATAAAAGTGCTGATTGAAATCAAATCAAAAAATATATGTTCTTATACATACTTTCATCATTTTTAGGAACAAAAACAACCCGATGCAAGTTGGCTGAATCAAAATTGGAGTAGAACTTGAATCCTTGACACTCATATCCATCCATTACTTCTTAATCACTGCATGCTTTCATTCACAGGCAGACTGTAACATTATTTTTCCACAAATCAAATCACAGATCCACACTGATAAAATCAATTCAATTCAAATCAATTGATTTATACGTATAAAAATTTATGACATATTTTTATTTTTTGTGTACACTTAAATTTGATCAGTTATTGAAAATCAGCTGATTTTGTTTTTCAACTGTCACAACAGTGTCAATGATACATTATCATAAAAACGAATTTAATAAGCATATCAAAACCTATGCGGTTAAAGGTATTGATTTTACAGAATCTACATTATACGTCTTGTTAGATTCGCCTTTAATTCAACCATTTACATATCCAGTCCAGTTAACACTTAAAACTTACATAAATTGATTGATTTGTAGCGATTTTTACGTGTATCGAACGTAAAATGTCGACATGCTGCACATATCCGTCATAATTCTGCAGGAATGCACTCTGTGTCGTGATCAGCAGCACTTTCACTAGCTTTTCACCGATTTAAGCACTCATTTCTCAGCAATGCACATTGTTTAAGCTGTTTATTACTGTGTGTTGTTAGACGCTTACTGATCAGATGATCTGTAGGTGTAGGCGGTTTGAGGCGAGGGCGACACAAGCGACTCAAGTGAGCCGAAGCAAACGAATGTGAAATTTGCAGTGACGTAATCGACTGTGAAAGAAATCAGGACGGGAACGGGACAAAGCAGGACAAAGGAAGCGTCAAAATATTGCACTGTTCTTTAATGCCTATGTATATAAGGATGAAATTGGCTTGATCGGTTTGCATTGGGAAAGTTGTTTGTGGCTAGATGGCGCTAAATGTACTAAGAACAATAGTACAATTAAGTAAACTAAGTATTAAATAGTTACAACGTTGCTATGCAACGATTTGTCCAATTAATTTTGCTAATGGAAAAATTGAACTTTTTTACGATTAAATCTACTAATAAGCGTCTAACTTTCGATCTTATTAACTGAACACTTGGAAATTTCTGTGTACAGGAAAGATGGCGACCAGGCAAAGTAAAAACATAATATTGCGTAGTGTTGCTCCGGGCCGATCAACTTTAAAAGGAAAATATTTTGATTTATAATTTTATTAAAAATGTTTCGAACGCATTCTCTTAAATAAAACATATGTACAAAATAGGAGAGGCGTGCAGAACGATCTAAAATAAACAAAATTGATAATAAATTTATCCAAAACTAATCATGTCAGAATTGTATTAAAAGTTAAAAACGCAAGTAAAACAAGGCGTGACAATGCCCTGTGTATCAACTGTTACCAGAACCAGCCATCAACTTATCTTAATGCAGATGAAACATTTTAAACAATAAAAATAAATTTTGACATGTTGCGTTTTTGAGCAATTAATTAATAATCCAATATTGTTGCATTTTAGACCGTTATACTTCCCAAAATATAAAGAAATCATAGTTAACGCAAATATCTCTAATATATCCAACAAGTCAATAGTCGTAGCCATCCGTAGAAAAATATTAGAAATTCTCCCTTTATAATTATTGCCATTCACTATCCTCAACCCACTCATTTCTCTCCTTCAAGACTCACATATTCAAATTGTTTAAATTGTTTTGGTCCATGAGTAACTTACACTTTTGTTTATACTTCTGCAACTCTAACTCAGTCCGAACTAACCGCTTTTTATATACTTCAGCCATGGAGCGCGCCTTGTTCAGCTGCTCTATGAGCTCTGCTTCAGTCACCGTTAATGTGTCACTTTTTATCGTCATCGCGTTATTGACAGCCGGCCGAATGTTTTGATTTATCACTTTATTCTTCGGCACGATGCGTTTCACCGGCATCGGTTTGTTTTGCACGAGTTTACCGTTAACAATCCGCAGTGAGTTCGAGTTGTTCGTTGTCATCGCTAGGAACTGATCAGCGGTAACCGTGATGATTTTCTTCTTTTTAAACGACGGCTGGTTAACAAGCGTTGATTTACTGACGGTTGTGATTGGCGTAATCCCAATCGGTGAGGTTTTCTCGGCTTTTATACTGTTCAGTGCTTGTTTACCAGCCTCGGTGAGGACTACGGAATGCCCGGTCTCCATTACTGAACTTAGGATGTTACTGTCATCGTCTGGAATCATCGTGATGCCGTGTTGTTGCAATAGTTTCATTGATTCCGTGAACGAATTCGTGTTTTCTTCAACATATTGAACTAGGATAAAACAAATTAGTAAATTTAGCTATAAAACTGTAATAAATGCACAAGATTTACCTTCTAATTGTTCCTGATTACTATCGATATTATGCTCAGTGTCAACTTGTGCATCTTGCAGGTAATCCTGAGAATTGTCATTGTCCATTAACACAGTCTCTATAGGCAATTCTGATTCGGTATTTGAAGCTTCATCTTGCAGATTCAATTGCAAAATTGGTTCAACAGCATCAGCAGTATTCTCATTTAGTTCCATTAAGTGGTTTGTGGCTTGCAGCGGGTCGCGGATCGTGTAGTTGATTATTTCGACGATGTCAGATCGGTCGATTTGTACAGCTATCTCCATGGGTGTCAGATCAAACTTATTGGTGACATTTACAGATGCACCTGAACGAATTAACGCTGCTGCTATTTCAGCATGGCCATTTTGGGCCGCCCAATGCAAAGGAGTCATTTGTAGCTGCATTTAACAAGAAATTAATTAGATAATAAACTAATTTGTACTGTATGTATTTTATTTACCATGTCTTTGGCATCTCCATCAGCACCATGTCTTAGCAAACATTCCACAATTTCCAAATGACCTTCATAGGCAGCCATATGAAGTGGTGTTCTTTCAACTTTAGTTCTTGTATCTTTAAACATTCCAGCCCTGAGAAAAATCTCACATATTTCAAGGTGGTTGTTTTGTGCTGCTAAGTGCAAAGGGCTGGTACCCAACTAGAATAAATAAAAATATGTGAAATATTGTTTTTTGTTTAATGTTGTTAATATTATTACCCAGTCTGCTGTGAAAGGAGCACCCTTAGCCAAAAGTCTTCTGATTTCTTCAACTTCCCCATCTTGTGCAGCCTGCAACAGCTTTTTGCCCAATTCATTAATGGTTGTACTGAGATTACTAGGCATTTGTGACTCTGGCAACAACTAGAATCCACACATCATTACATGCTAAACAATGAAATAAATTATAATTGACTTACAGTCGCGATAATATTCGCAGGTACATCATCAGCGATCACGTACTGAGGCGAGTCCTTAATAAGTCGGACGTTCTTCTTGACCCGCTCCATTATATGGTTAATCATTCTCTAGAAACCAAGCGCGAATATTAGCACAGTGTACGCGGACGCCCGCAACAAACATAGCTGTTGTGGTAGGTGTGTTTGTTTCGTTTTGTTATTTGTTATTGTTTGAAGGTTAGGATCGCGCTCACGCTGTTGTTCGCTAACAAATTTTAAAAAGCGACCCGGCAGGCGAACAGGAAAATCACCATTTTGATGTAGATTTCCTGTTCCTGTCCGCAGGCGGAAATGGGTACATACAAGTGGCCATTTCGGGCGGCGTTTGAAATGATTGGAGTGTGACTTTGGTGAGTGGCATCCACGGGGTACTTACTCATTGCAGAGGCTCCCGCGACGATATCGTACGCATTTTTCATCAGGTTTTCGGGCGAAAAAGGACGCACAGGCGGTTGAACGGGCGTGAGGAGATGAATGTCATCGCCAGTCGTCGCTTGTTTTGCGCGCTGGTTGCTTTGGTTTTCTTACGGTGGCAACGGAGTTAACAACCCTGCGCGCTAAATTTAAAAATTTAAAATGCTCAAGAACATTTCACTGGAATATTGTTAACTTTGCTTTTGGCAATTACAATAAATAACACATTTTACTTGGTTTATTTGCAAATTAATATTGCTCAATAAAATACCACAAACATTAATTTAGTCACGTGTTGTGTGAGTTGGGTTGCATACTAAAACATAACTTACTTGGATCCACAGTGAGTTTCCAAAATTATTATCGAAATTGCATTAATTATGTATTAATGTTGTTTTTAAATATAAAAATTTATGTAAAATAAGTATTAACAACTTACTTGTATTGTGAAATAGTGATAATTTAAGTCAGTATGTGGTAAACAATGGTTTAGACAGCAATTTTTAACTTGCGCTGCTCGATGAGTAAGTTTAATGTAATTTTTCAATATTTTACTTTTTGCAAGTTTGCGCAGTAAAGTTGAGATACTTTATAATCAATTATTAAGCGTATTGTTATTACCTTGCTTCGGGGAGTCCTTCGCTTCAAACATTTTGCGCCGAATTGCACTCCTCCCTCGTGCATTGTATAATCACCACGGCTAACTTTTCAACTTTTTGCATATTCATTTGGTGCCGTACTACGCTCATAAAACAGTACGGTTTTTGAGCGGTAGGGTTGTACACCGTATACACAAGTAAATGAAATTTACTTTTACGTTTCTTGCGCATCTGCTAAGAAAAGTTTTTTACCTAAATTGAATAAATTTTGAACGGTAAAATGTTTATATCAAGGTCGTGCAGTATAATGCAGTATAATGCAGTATAATGTTAGGTTAGACTTTGTTTTCTGTTGGCTTCTTTTGACATCGTACATTTTATTATCAAAACATTTCATCTCACAAGTTTTACTTCCACGACAACAAACAACAACGACGAGTACAGAGTGTTTGTGTGATTTATTCTGGTTGCGAGTACGGTCGAGCAGTGAAAGCGGCTGAAACGCAGAAATTATATTCAGAATAGGCAACCAACTTTGCACTATATCTAATATAATACCGTTCTAAGTTGAGTTGTCAGGATATCGGCAGGTAATGAGTTGTAAGTTGCGGCAGTCGTGGTTTCGGCTGCAATAGAGAGAGTTGTTATACTTGCATGGCCGCAGCAGGGGCAGAGGGGTGGCCAATTAGTATGCCGTTCCGGCGGATGTGGCAGTCGGTTGCTCGTCGACAACTCCTCGAATGGTAATTTCGCCTTTTCTCACCCGACATTTTCACCAACTCGACCAACTTCATAACCACACCTACATTATTTAAACACCGAAAACTTTCACGCAAACCAGTGACGAGAGTACCAATGAGCTATTTATCGTTCTATTTATTGAGTATTTAATTAATGCGGGAATTATTTCAGTCTAAATTTGCTCGTAATAAAATGTGGATATAAATAATAGTTTTGGAACAGCGTGAATTCTGAATGCATATTTATGGCGCCGCGAATTTAAATAATGAATATTAACTAAGATAATGTGCGCTTACTTGACACGCGAGAATTTTGTAAATGTTGCGCTCGCGTGCGAAAATGTTCAACTTCCTTCGAAGCAGAAATATTTCGTTAACATACCAAACATTTACGAAATAACAAAAAAAGTTAAGCTGCAAAAATAACACAATGAATATATAACGATGACAAAATGTAACCGAAATATATTTATTCTTTTATATTCTAACTATTGATTAATTATTTAACAATTTTAATATTTTATTTATGATATTAACTAACCTCAAAATTAATTTTTGCACACTCGATTGTAAATGACTAAATTTTGAAGTTACCTTTAGGTTTAATGTATTAAAATTATTTGCGCATGCGCACTGGGTAAAACTAACGCAACCAAGTATGCACAAGTCTAGAATCACTTCGATTTTCCGTTTAATGTCTTGCCAATAATTCAATGTTATTAAATCAAGATCATTAATTACTCGCGGCGCGAAAGCAATTACTCAACAAGACTTAAATATCGATTATGCTATTATGGGAGTTGCGGGTTGGTTAGAAGGCTAGCAAGTATGCGTAAGGTACTCGTACTCGTGCCTTTATTCACTTTACGAGTACTTCTTTACTTCTTGCAAGTAATTTTTTATTTTCGTCATTTTTCACATGAATAACCGATAGATAACTACACCATTTGTTCGTGGTACGATGTGCCCATCTAAAAAACCTTTTAAAACTTATTTAACTGTTTTTAAACAAAAATAAAAGTATAAAATAATTAATAATGTGTATGTTTGGTTGCATTTATTAGTTTATTTGTAAATTCACAAAATAAAACATTTTCCAACATGTATTTGAATTTATTTCTGATTTTAATTGAATAATAAAGGTATACTTTGAATAATAATTACCCGGATATGTTTCAAGATTACGTCGAGATTGGCGATATTGAAACCTCTTTGAAGTTTAACGAAATTACAAAGCTTTACACGCTTCTAGCATTTTAATTAAACTAGACAGCTTAACATACACGAAAATGTTTCTTTTGTATGTTTGAAATTTTAAAATTTCCACGTTTCGATTAAGTCATGTGAAATTTTAGCATATGAATGCACAAAAAAATAAAAGCAAGAAACACGTACATGACATTCCTATTTTCAGAAGCTGGGTGCGGTAAAAGTAAAAAACTCACCACAATAAAAAGCGTAGCAAAAACGTACGTTTTAAGTCTTCAAAAAAATCTCATACCAGAATACTTCGGCTGAATTACTGAGAATGTACATTGTACATATATATTCAAACATGTACCTACTAACATTTTCTTTGGGAGATTTTGTGGGGGTGCGTTTTTTACGCTTTACTGAGTAGTCTGCCAGCTGTGGATATAAAATTAAACTGCTTGAAGACGTCGCACCACGCAAAAAAACGTCGAATACGATATAAATAATGTGCGATAATGCGAATGCTAAAGGATGATTTTTTTGTATTTCTATCTCAAATTAAACTGATATTATAAGTGAATACAAAAATGTTTTTTGTAGGAATGGCTGTATAGGTTATTATTAATGTAAGTTTGGTTGCCTAAATTGAAAAAAAATAAACATATAATTTAATATATTCGAATAATATAATAATTATTTGTTGAATTTTGCAGCAAACAGTAGAATCGTCACGAAATCGCACAAATATTGTAGAATCCATGCGCGTCGAGGGCGTCGTCGGCATCTTTGTCGGCGGCGGCGGCGGCGGCGATGGCAGCGGAGGTGCAGTACACGAATCGGACGCATTGTGAGCGCGCGCGTGCTCGCACACCACTCGCCACCCCCGCGTCGCGAATCCAGCGACTCCCGATTCAGTCCAGAGTCTCCCGGCTTGCTCGACGGAGGCGGCGCGCATCCACCACGCGACAATCGTTATATCACGTAAAACCGATCGCGAGACAATTGATCCTCTTGTCGTAACCTACTCATCCTTATTGTCGGTGAGATAAACTCTGATGTAAATAAGTGCTGTGTGCAGTGGCGACGACAACTTCAAACGATTCACAGCTTCATTTCATCTGGTAAATATTATTATTCGGTTTTTATCAATTAAAATTTTAATAATTAAAAAATATTTGTTTTAATTCGTTCACAATTTGAGTTGGTTGTGCGAGTGGCGTGGTAGCACGCAGAGCACATGGCGAAATTCCGACGCTGTGCTGTTATATAATCTGGGTTAGACTTATTTTTATTATTTTGCAGATCATTATTTTCATTTTTATTGCGGAAGTGAGCTCTCTGAATTTCATGTTTTGTTTGTAGGTTTGTCAAAGTGCTGTATCGACAAAAAAAATGTGCATTATAATACAGTGGATTAATATTTTATATTTTTGATGGTTATTGTTTATTCTTACAAGCGGTGGAAGTGAGAAATTGACAAAGTGACGTATGATGTATGATGTCGAAGCGTGAGAGATGATTGAAGGGCTGTCAACCGACACTGTTATGGCCCTTAAGTACATTTTATGTGTTTCGCGTGTTTTTTTTACGATTTATATGCTTTTATTTGCGTCAAACACGTGCGCAAATATTAGTTTTATCGAATTCCCAATTGTATTCACAGCTAATTAGAACAATTAAAACAAAATTCAAAATGGAATTTTTGTGCGTTATGAAACCAAATAAATTAATTAAAACGTCTATTTCACTTAAGTCCAAGCATATAGGTACGCATGAGTCTTTGGTTGTTAGTGCTCTGGCCCTTTGGTCGTTGGCAGCTTTGCTACAGCAATCCACCAAATTTAATTTAGAAGTTTGCAAAGACCCACCGGCTGTTTTACAAGGGCGTGAGTGGAAGTCCGCAATACGAATACAACTTTTGGTAAAACGCTTTTTACTCAGCCACTCAAACCCAACACCAACCCGAACCCGAAAGAAGCTTCGCAGTACATGCATAAAGGAGATTAACGCATGCACATGTTGTGATGTTAAAGCGGGTGGAACAGGTGAATTATTAAATATATAGGTACTCTGCATAATATTAATCTTTAACGTGGACAACCAAGCTCACACGTTCGAATTCACTTGGTTGCACACTTTCTGATTTTATTTTTCTACTCATGCGTGCAGTTTATGCAAGAACGGTGATAATCCATAGAGAGCTTCAACTAGGTGCACAAAAAGGCAAGACGAGTGGAGAGTTAGGCACAAGGAGTCGGGAATAAGGATACTTTGCATTTTTGATCGACGCGCGAGAAGCAAAAAGGCACGAACATCCGCACACAAGCAGGCCGAGTTTTAACAATGCTCTGCACTTCTACACACACATATATACAGTGTGTCCTTGGAAATTTTAAAACAATCATCAAAATTGATTGCAAATGTTGAAAATTTCATCTCTTAACACCTTGTTTGGTGTAGGTTGTGGAGTCTTTGGTGCATTCCTGTTTCGATTTGCGGTTGGTTCGGCTCGACGAACACAAAGGACCAACCCCAATGTCGATCGGTCATAATGTGGTCAATATGGGGTGGTTCGCACACAAAAGTTTTCTCATTTATTTTTCGTTGCCCAGCGCGTTCTTTTTCGTGCTGAGAGAGAGAATTTTTCAATGGTTATATACAGTGTGAAGGGTAGAAGTGGAAGTGGTAAGAGTGTTTTCGAAAAGGATGTCACTGAATGGGATTAGTACACCGCTGGGATATTTCAACGGAAAAACTGCAACAAAAATGTGATGACATTTAGTTTTTGACATTTGGATACTTATAATGCATTTTTTGTTGTGATGTTTAGTGAAAACTGTCTCTGATGCAATTTAAATAGTCTGGTGTGTAGGGGGGATGAAAAAGTCGGGTTGGCATTACCCCGTTAGGTATTAGGCGCATTAGCATCAGCGCGACGTCCCGTAATACGGGATATTTTTCATAAAGTTCTCGTTTAATCGCGCCGAACGACCAACTGCTCCCTTGTGTACAGCGTATACGTCTGCAGTGACATTATATTCTGCATTTTCATTTGAAATTATTTCATTATCCTATTAAAACAATAAAAAACAACCTCAAAAACAATTTTAACACATTTAACGTAGGCAACTTTAATTGCGTAGACTTAAGTATAATTGGTTGCGTAGCTACTTAAAAAGTTTTGAGTATTAACTAAAACAAAATCGAAATTTTTGATTCGTTCTGAAGCCGATTAAACGAAGTGTTTGTGTTTTGGCCTGATTGTTTTTGTTTTTCGCCTGATTTAAATTAATCGTCGCGGTGAAAATCCCCAAATCCTGATGAGCTGATTGCCGTGTGTGCCAGCAGTGCAGAAATTACTTAATTACATGTAAATTGCGTTTTGTTTGCCGCATCGAGCGTGAGCTTTCCCGCAAGCTGTGTGAACAGTGAACAGGAAGACCGTGTGTGAATTGGGGGTGTTTTCGTCAACGCAAACACGTCTATATTGCGACTTGGTTAATTGAGATTTAAAGTAAACTAGAAACAAATAGCACTCAAATGCATTGAATTGTACGCAACGCAACTAACACCCATATGAAATCTAGGCTGGAACGATTAGACGCATAGAACATTATTTATGCGATATCCAAAGAGTTAAATTTTACCTTTTTTTATTCTTCACTGGCGATTTCATCCCTTATCTGACAACTGTGAGCTTTGTGCTTACCTCTTGTGTGGTTTACGAGCGACTCGGGTATACTACGAATAAATCGCAATGTAAGTGGTTAAAGTTACGTTTTTGTCTTCCACGGGATGAAATATTTCAACCCTTCGCCGTTAACCTCTTCAAGTATAATCAAAACTGCAAAAAACGAATTCATTATTATTTAAAACCGCTCAGTCTACTCTGCTTGTGAATTGAGTTGCCTAACTGTTAAATTTTTTACACATCGCATCAAACATGTAGAAACTAGTTTTGTGTAGGAATGTCAGAGGCTTTGTGCAGGTTTTGTACGAGCGCCTAGTTTAGCTTTAGGGCAAACACTATTAAATCATAATTTGTCACTCATGCGTGTGCCGCGCACCGAGCTTCTAATATGATTCGATTTAGATAGAAACGTCATATTTATTCAAGCCTTCGAGCGTAAACACGACTCGTTCGAAAATCGCGCACGCCACACACACACACGCACAAAAGCTGATATATAACATACAACAGAACATATTATTTATATGTTAGAGCTTGTTTACTCTGCTGAGATTGCGAATAAAGCTTGGATCAGAGTTGGACTCATAAAACTTTATATTTAAAGTTATATTTCTATAAAGCAGTAAATAAAATGATTTTTAAATATTTCGTAGTGGTAGGCAACCAACAATTCATTAAAATGAACCTTTAAAAACATTCTTTTGATTAAACAAATATAATAAAGTTAAATAAGTTGGTTTGACATAAGAACGCCATTAATGGCTTATTTGCTTGAGTGTTCTGTAGCGTTGAGAGGCGGATGAATGGGTTAAACTGCTGGGCCGCAGGGAAGAAAATAAGGGATTTTGTTCTCGATGAGCGAATTTTCTGCTTTGACAAAAAATAAATATCGCCCGCATGCTGTGCACGTAATAAAATGAAAAATCGTGTGTCGTTGAACAACAACGCAACGAGAAAATATTGACGGGATCAAAACATTTACCAAATATATACAGTGTGTCAGCACTTTAATGTAAAACCATTGTTTTCGGACGTGCGTAGAGTCAATTCAAAGCTGATTTAATTTAATGAGATAGTCAATTATACTTTTTAAAGATTTGAGTAGAAGATTGAAGATTAAAACTGCAGCATGCCTTGAAACAACACAACCGGAATCGTTTAGCATTAAATCCTCATTCGCGATGCTCGTTTCTCGTTGGCTTATTTCCTAATATTCATGCTTCGCATGCCTCAGATACGCCGCGCCATATTCACACCGCCATTTTCCATTTACCACCATCCACATTTACCATCCACACAGCAAGCATCGGCGGTCGTTGTAAATTATACACACCGAAAGCTTACATCGCTTACACTTAGTCTACTCATTGTATTGTACGTACTCATCTTGGATGTTTGGTAGGCAACCAGTCATACACACACACACACATTGCTGGTTGCGGTGTATATTATACAACACAACGTACATAACCGAAATCGTTATCTACCATTCATAACCTGCATGTAACGTGCCGAGCGTTCGGCGTAAATTTAACCTCAACGAGGAAGCATAAATATTCACGGGATTTCCGCCGCGAGTTTCCTATACGTCTTAGTAGAGCGGAACTAATTCTTAAAGAATCGGAATGCGAAAATTTTCCGCAGATTGCGCTTTGTGTTATTTATGTGAACATTCTTCATGTTAAAATTTATAATTTTATTTTGCAAAAATAAAAATTTTGTATATTTTAAAATGCCTAAATACAACCCTGAATATTTTTCACCTACTTTCCGCCGTGTTTGTTTGTCCCCTCATTGAAAAACATTCACGTACAGTTTGCACGATCTTTCCATTGTTTTTCCAAAAAATATTTTCCTTCGAGCTCGCGCCATTTTTATTTCCGCCCCTAAAATAATGACAATGTTTTGATAATAATTTATCGCGTTTGGCACATCTTTCATCTTTCAGTCTCTACCTTCGTTCTGCAAAAGTCTAAAAACTGGAAGAATGCTGCGAAAGCTAATTAAATTCCTCGCAGCGGGATAAAAAAAAAACTGTGAAAACTCTGTGGAAATGTAAAAAATCACAAATGTTCGTTGATGTTATTTTAGCGACCATTTGGGTTGAAAAATATTATTTAGCACATTTTTCGTATTATAGTTATAGGTTAAGTACATAGGAGAGAAAAACAAATTATACAAATGGATAGGCATCATATGGTTGACATTTTCCTATGAATTATCAAATTTTTAATGATAACATTAAATATAACCTTAAATATTCCATGCTGAATATGCTAAACATGTAAATATTTAAATTCGAATATATTTACGTATTGCATAAAAATAAACGAAAGCATGAATCTTGTTTCGAATTTGGCGAGATGGAGAGTGAGAGAGAGCTTTTCCATATTTCATGAAGTCGCCGTCGGGCGCAGATGCTTTATGATG